AACAACTTATGTATACATGCTACCATAAGCAAACCAGTCTGTAAAATTACTTTTGTCGTAAAATCTACGAAACAGTCACTTAATAGAACTGCAAACCAGGCGGTAGTATTCAAGCATATCCTTTATAACGTAGAACTAACAGGGTGCGGTCCATTCTATATATGGCACAATCAGCTTGGCATAAATTAACACAACTCACGGCTTATATATGTCCACCTAATCACATTGAAACGATTAAATCTTGCCTAACGCTTACCATTGGGCCTCTGCCGTGAATGAGCAATAAATTGATTCAAACAAATAGCTGTTAATAAAAGGTGAGCTAGTGCTTCAAGTCGGCTCATTCCATGCGATTTGACGATCTCCAAAGCACTTACATTTCAACTCATCAATGGGGTGACTAGCTGCACAAATGATACCAACGCCACCCGAAGATAACCCATCTGTATACAGACCCTTGAAAGCATTGGCCTGATGATATGGTAGAGGCCAAATTGCTGCCGTTCACAAACATTCATCTTACACAAAACAAGGTTGAAGCCGAGGGACAATTGCCTTCGGGGCTGATATAATTGCCCCTTAAGCTGGCCAAACTCGAACGACGACTGACAACTACGAACTTCATACTATAGGTATAAGATAAACGGAATGGGAAAGCATATCGTTGACGGCTTTTTCGATTGATGATTAATTTCCTTTTTTGCTATGGTCGACAATCCTGAAGTTACTACGACGATCTCAATCCATGTACTGCTGCCCCTATTTCTTTCCAATGAAATAATCAAAAGTGAGTCACGTTGACTAATAGTTGGTGTCGGTAGGAGTCAAGTGCAGCGCCCGTAATGTCTTGATGATTATGTTGATTACCGTCTGGTTTCTAACAGGCAAACGACTCGGAAAGATATTTCATTTACCATGTGACAATCGATTTAGTGCTGCATATTGACGCTGACGCCTACGACCTCCTCTAGAGAAGCTTCCATGAATTCTGCGGAAATTTATGAGGAACTACACGCTGGTGTTTAAAAATAAATCTATACATCCATGTATTTAGATTCTCCGATACTGCTATGCTCATCTTTATGCGCATGTTACAAGCGTTATCCAAAGTTTATTGTAAGCTTCCACGTCGACCTCTACAGTGATTCGTATACAAATCAAAAAAACCTCATAATACGCTAATGACTATATGTCGACCTCTACAAATGCACCACTGATACTACTGCTTTCATTTAGGTCCTCGACCCAGATTACACTCTTCGCCTCTGGGTTTTAAATGATTGTTACCATTCACATAGGTATGAAGAAACCTCTGAGCTGGATCGGAAAAATCCAGCATTTTTAAACAGAGTGCCAAGTATATGTGGCTCTTAAGTTAACCAAATCGCCACATTTAGAACCAATCGTCAATGAAAATGACTTTCTAGTTTCGACAATTAACTTTTTCAAGCAAAACACGCAATTATAGTCACAATCTCACCAGTTGTATTCATGCAGTACTACGCAGATATTCCTTTTTTACAATACTCGCTGTCTGCATGTGTCTTCAATGTACGAATGCTCCGATTGCTGACCTGAATTTTATTACAGTATAGAGATATTCGTCCATGTATGAATGTTCTATGTTAGACGAAAAAAAGTACTGCCTCTTTAGGCGAACTTACATATAGCAGCAAACTAAACGAACACTGATCCCGTCGAAATGAACAGAAATAATGTTAGAAGTAAAAAAAATCTACAGCAAGATCAGGACATGTGCCTGCACTATGTGCTGACATTGTGTTATATGTCTTTCCTACATGAGCCTTTCGAGATCGAAGTAACGCAAAAAGGTATTTTTGGATAACGCTGGTCATTCCATATTTTGCTTTAATGCCAACGCAGATACGTAAATAGCATAAGCTGTAGAACGTCAGACAATGCTGGACAATCGACATCGCTACGGTTACCATGTTTCACTGCCACCTTTCTTTACAGAAAATGTATACGAATGTTAAAAAAACAGAGGGGCAGAAGCATAGAAAAACAATAGCAACTCGAAAAGAACAGCACACACAGAGCCAAAATTAGACGTTTCCAAAGGTATGAGCTATCTAAAGAGACCAACCGCTTGTAAGTAGAATGACTCAGACTGAGCGGAGAATCTTCCTCCGATGTAAATCTACGATACTCTACTTTGAGTCAGTGCTCATTCGACCCCGTCGGCTCTCGTACTACGAACTGACACATGCGGGTTCTATGCAAAAAAAAAAAAACTGTTTATCAAATTATTGCATTTTTGATTCCGGTTGCGAATTGTATTGCTGCTCGCTCCTGCCACTGTTCCATGCAACCGCAATTAGTTCGTCACCTTGGATCATTAGTATTATATGAAATTAGTAGCAGAAAGCTGACGAGACTCGAATAAGCCGTTTCAAATATAAACATAGATATAATTCTGCAATAGCTTAATTACTGATCAAAATAATGAGCTTGCTTGAGATATCCTAATTTCATAAACGTGCACATATGACCACAAGAAATGGCCTTAACGGTTATGAATCTATGAAAAAAACAAACTCTGTCTCACCGTTAGGCAGTGTCGATTCGATTCCATTTAATTATCTCTGGCACTGTTTAGAAATGTTATATCTGAGACCGGTAAGCACAATTAAGTTGGCTAAGCGAAGTTTCCTCCGAATTCCAAATAGATGACACCATTATGACTATCTGAAGTGTTATTCCTTTAAAATCACTTGGCTTGATTATAAAGTTAAGAACATGTCTATACTGATACAATTAAAATTTTAAATTTGAGGCAGAATGATAAGAGAAAAGCTTTAGATTTTGGTTGAATGAACCTCGCAGCAGTGAGAATACGCTTTTGACGATAAAAAACCAAAAAAATTTATTATCAACTAGAAGTAATCTTGGCTTTCCTTGAACATCGAAAAATACCCGAATAAAAGTATTAAAGTAGCACTTAGTTTATTCAGCCATAACATGACTAGATGGAGATAATTTTTAACTGAACTTATGTTCATACAGATATTTAGCTAAGCATTTTTTTAAAATTTTGATAGTCATATAATTTGGTAATTTTCAGGTAAAACGTTCATAGTCAAAGTGCAAATCCTTACTTGACCGTCACCAATGAAAGATATTATCCATGTCAACCATCTTGGATGAAAAACTTCAAATCGACTAGGATCAATTTTCTTCTATAATACGTTTGACCAGAGAATAAGCATATATATGCCATGCGCATTCATGAAGTCATCGTTGCGTATCTGATAAACGAGTCGACTATGGATCCTACGCGTTCAGACTGCTGATGACGAACGCTACAAAAAAGCCTCGCAGGAAGTCGTCAATGTAAATCGAAATGTTATATTAGGGCTTGTAGTATTTGCTGCTGCGTTGTACTCGGATGTTTTTATTATCGTATATGCACACCAAATTATACAGACTAGCTACTATAAAAGTGGCTACACGATTAATGATAGTTTATGATATAACATTTAATACTCCATTAGATGGCGAGGCTGAAACAAAATCACAGGTGTGGCACGAATCAAGCCGGGGTTCATTAAACAAAGGTTCAAGAATGATTCTGGAACTTCAAAGTAAACGTCAAACGCACTTGTTCTATCCATTCTTGACTTTCCACGCGCCATTCTCTAACCAACAGTAAACAGCTACAAGCAGCACTTAATCACAACTGATAGTGATAAATATTATCTTGCAGCGTGCCTAAAGAGTACTCGGCAAGGGAGCGTTAAAAAACCGAAGTGGAATAGCTTCGTTTGAGCTGCGCTGCGCTACAGTGTACTCCGCCTGGACCACTGGTGCACACACTGGTATTACAGCGTACCTATGTTAGTAATCTACTTCTGAAATAGTTCACAGAAATTTCCGATATACAGTCAACTCATATCTCCATCGCCCTCGCTGATAGGGAACGCAAGTAGGCCGCCGACGTATTCCCAAAGTATTCGACTTTACTAGTGCGCAAAGATATTTATATATATGTATGTATAGTATATAAATTATGTGAATAATCTGGTAAACAAACTTCGAGTTCAAGTGTAACGTTACGCGTGCTACGTGGCACTAGATAGCAGCGCTCAAAGGTTTCTACATGTCTGCGTTGCACTTGCTCCTTTAATGTCGTTAGGAGCTGTAGAAGTCTAGTTAACGATTCAGACAGCAAAGCAAGTCCGATCAAATGGGAAAGAAACTCATTTACTTAACTAGCACTTAATCGAGAGCACTATGAAAACATTCTGCTGGTCTTTGTTCGAATATGAAGCTAATACTTTTCCGTTTGTTTTACATCTATTATATATAATAGGAAGAATGTTGGTAGTAGCCAGAAGTCACTGTGTATGCTGTTTTTCAAACTGGCCACAAACACTTAAGAAAGAAGGAGCATTGCCCTTTGACATCCGCTGTCCCCAAATAGGTCTTTAGACGCATCCCCTCAAGCGCGCAGTAGTTCTAGAGTAAGCACATTCGTAGAACAGAGGAACGAGGCGGTTCTCGCACTGCTACTTGCTATAAAAGTTTGCATGGAAGCTGATTTCGTTCACGATTCTTTCAGAGCGTCTTCTTCATCGTTAGCGTCATCTTCATCCAGCTGAAAGTTGGTCTGCTGCGTTCGGCACCTAAATGTTTCAAATCATACCGATTGAATTTTCAATGTATGTGTGTGACATGAAAATCTTCAAACATTTACATAATAAAACTCCACTGTTATAATAGCAGAGCTGTACTTTTTTCTGCAAGTATAGACTGCGAATCTAGGGTATGTTGTACAGCTTCTGGTCAGACTGTCGCAGCACATGTGTAGATGATTGTTAGTTAGTAGCAGGCTCTGTTGCTCTATGACCCACCCAGTTTGGTTACCTTCATTCATTGTCGATCTGGTCGTTAGTACTTGTTGTCATCTGCCTCAGGGTTATTAGCATCGTATTCACGCTTGAATTTTTGTCAGTTTCCACCGTGTCTATCCAACCTACCTGTAGTTCTATGAGTCAGCGACCGTTTTCTCGGATCGTCCACTTCTTCCATTCACGGCAGTCAGTGACCAGCACTCGGTTACTGAGAATTGACCGTTTCAGTATCGTATTGCTGCATTCGTACGCTATGCGTTGCTATATCGATGCGTACCTATCAACGAACGACTATTCCCGCCAAACAGTCAAATAATCAACACAAGCAACAGCGAAGACGAAAAGACTCTTTCTACTTATTCCTTGTCTTCAGGCGTCAAATACACATCCACTCACTAACACCCAGTCAGTCATCGAAATGTCTATTCTTGTAGTAAACACCACCGCCGTTGCGACAAGCTCACAAACTCCGACACATGCACAACGACCGCGTTGCGCACAGACAGACAGACATACAGACAGACAAACTCCAGCATATAACCGCGACTATATATTCTATTGAATACTGATACGAATAACTTCACACGACTGCGGCGGGCAGTGATCACGCATCGTCTAACTGCTCTACGGCAACACCAGTTTCCTGCAGCAACTATCACCTACCCACCTCCCTCTCAGCCTAAGCAGCAGAAGCACTGAACAGTTGTGCCGTAACACAGCATCACCCGCGCCAGCATCGACTGCGAGGAGAACACGGGACCGAACAGCGATAGCGCCACGGGGAGTAGGCAAGGACTTTGCTTGCTGCTACTGCTCCCAGCCGGTTGTTGTTGTTGTTGTCGCCGTCGTCTTCGTCGTCGTCGTTGTTGTTGTTCTTAGCGCTAGCAGCAGTAACAATAGTAATAATGGTAGTAGTCCGGACGGTCCAGGCTGCGATGTATTGTAGCCGCCAGGCGACGGACCGATCGTCCGGCTATCCAGTTCTAAGCTCGACAGACCGTAACTGCCTAACAACAGAGCCCTGCAGCCGCAGCAAAGCAGCGGTAGCGGCACCAGCACGATCACCTCTTGGACCTCGGGACTACTTCGACGGCCAGCCGACTCCTAGGCAGGCAGGAAAATACATTAGCGGCGCAGGCAGCCCTAGCAGCTACACGAGAAGGCAATGGAACCCCGATTGTGCCTTATAGAACTCCGTTGACGGGTCCGCCAGTTGCTTCAGCGATCCGCGGCTCACTTGTCAATCGAGCGCAATTTGTCTCATTTACTGTTAGGGTGATTTCGGGTCTTGAGCGATGGGCGGGAGTAATAAAAAAATGATGAGGATCAAAGTCGGCGACACAACAATCAAGAAAAACAAAAACTTACCTGCGAGCGCATTTCTTTGGAAGGTCCGCGTTCCGTCGGTTTACGCATAGGATGTTCCGACGTTTCGACGAGTGTTCCAAGACGGAGAACGACGATGGCGGGACCGTCCGAGCTCTTCGAAGCCATGAAGGGCTTTCAGGGAACATGGTATTCGAAACGACATCCTTAGCTCGCCTCTAGTGGACGCTGGCACAGGAGTCCAGTCTATCAAAATTTAGCGAAGTCAGCTATCAGCATCCGGTAAGTCGACAGCTGATACACCTCCATCCTTGAGAGTTTCTTACTAGATAACTTCACAGCACCACTAGAGGCGCCCTGCGCTGCTGCCGCTGAAGTGTATTATAGGATTGTATTTATAATTGCTTTTGTGTAAAGACGGAGAAATCAAAATATTTACTCTGTTAAATTCGCTATTTGCAACTTTCGATGTGATAATTACCGCCCGTATTTTATTCGAAAGCATTTGAATTTTCCTATGAATCGTGTGAACCAAAACGAAGTGTTATTGAATTGCATTGGACCGTTACTGGAAGCTATCGTATCAGATTATTGTTTTATGCGAATCTGTCTTTCCTTCCGGATCTTAGTATAACGAATACGTAAAGTGCAGTTTTATTTTGACGATAGAATTTCGTACTAAGTGATATACGTTGGGCCACTTTGGAAGTTGTGATAACACACTAAGTGCCGTTGGTTAAAAATGTGGCTATGCTAGTGGACTTTTTTTTACATGTTCTCCTTGCACAGCTGTTTGCACTTGCTGTTTGAAGTATCCAGTAACGCGTCGATAAGAACAGATATATGGTTTCCCGACTGTATACGGACACATACTCTTTTACATCTATAGTCAGTAGACGTCTACGTTATTTCCCACGCTACAAGTGCAGTACCTGATGCATCTAGGATAGATCAATACTAGAAGTAATTTAGTTGCATGCGAACAATATACGTTTTAAAAATTCGTAACGAATAATCATATTTCGTCAGACAATTAGAATTTATTTGGGATCCTAACAAGTCTTTTATAACGCCTCTTGAAAGTATGGATTCCGGATCTAATGTGCTAAGTCGCACGGCATTTCTGTCCATGTAGTAATGGCTTCGCAACCAAATAAATCGAAGACAGCAACTGTAATTTTGACAATCGACAGCCCACTAACTTATTCGTTAGGCCAGCTTGCGTTGTCGTCTTCGTTTGCCGTCTAACAATTTAGCTTCCCCTTGCGTCGGTGCCTATAACCGCTAGTCAAGGCTTTCGCAACACTAACGTTGACTACGATGAACAGGTGATGGTCACGTGTACTAACTGTGATATTTTAAGCAAGGGCAGCATGTACAGGGTTATGCAGGTCGTTTCGCGTTCGTGTCGCCACGGAGAGGACTCACTAAAACTTGTGTTCTATATTGTAAACTTCTCTGCCCATTAAAGGACCGTGTTCAGTGTGATAACCGTGTAGCCGTTGACAAAAATGGGTGAGGCACTCATAGTAGTCGATTATAATGGGAATCAATAATCAACAATTGGCAGTGTCACTCGCGATTTGTGACACATATACTCGGTAATAACATGGTTTTGCGTATACTGATCGAGCTGAAAATAGAGCCAGAGTTAACGTGGTACAAATGATAAGATCCGTCTGATGCAGCGCACAAGTTAGAAGCAGTGTATAGCTTGTCCAATCACATGCTCAGGATTACTTTTTGTGCACGATTATGTTAGCGTTCTGTTTTCTATTTCATCATTGTAGAACTGTTAAAGTTGTGTACTGAGGTTCCTTCTATATACTCTTAGAGAAGCGTGTTTCATATTCTATTTTAACGGAACTTTTGAACAATTGTTAGCGTAAAACAGTGGGTAATCAAAACAAAAGGTTGCGCATATCGAAAATGCATTTAACTATCCATGTTTGTATTGATGGTCTTTTACTTTTGTTAAGAAGTACGGAAGTCGCGCCTGAGAAAGGATTGAGAATACCTATTTTCAAGCGTCTTGAGTTACTGAGTTGATGCTATCCTTTTTCGCCAAGTGAACAGTGAAAACTGTTGATCAATATGAAACCTTTAGACCTTATACCATGAGGTTCCAGACGACGCGACTCCTGACTCAGGTGAATTTAAGTTCGTATATCCACTCGGCAGTGCAGTGACGTTCACTACCTGAATATTATTGCAATGTTTAGCTTTAATATTATCGAATGACCGTCCTAGGCGAAAAAGCATTAGTGAAGCTGACCTTTGAAGTATCTCAATATTTGCGGAAGCGTGCATCACAGTCATAATCGAAAAAAAATTCAATTAGTCAGAGGATAAATTTAAATCGCCGTTGTTTCCCTCAAGAAAACTAATGCCCGTCCCGTAGACCCAATCTTTGACAACGTAATATACATTTTTTGATGAAGCCTAAACTATGACAATTTATTTTCTAAAAAGCGTAGTATTGTTTACGGCGTTCAACGGGACGTTTTCGCCATTCGTGAAAATGTTATTTGTCTTTGGCTGCTTATTTTAATTCAATCGGCATCCCTTACGCTTTCATCAGCCGCAGGAGTATATAGTTTTGTTAAATTCTGTCAAATCCTAAAAATGTTTTTATTATTATTATGAGACATTTTTTTGTTAGTAATGTGCTGACCTCCACACTTACTTATAATTATTAAGTAAGAAAGTTGATAAATGAGAAATGTATTCAGCAGCACATTAATTTTCAGCCAGTTTATTATCTTCCATTTTTTATTGATATTATTATTAAGTTATTATTAAGTTAAAGTTACTAAGGGCTAATATGGTGCCGTCTGCAATGTACGGTTCGTCACGCGCATCTTATTACTTGCTTCATAGTAATCGATTATCAACCTTAAAAAGTGATAATCTGTAAAAAAAAACGTACACCGAGTTACAGCATCTAGCCGATTCAGTCTGTTTCAGGTATCGAGAGTCATCGCACCTAAATAATGAAAAAAGAAGGCACCACTGTATTTGTTTCGTGTTGATGGATGCACTTAGGTGGCACCGTTGTTTCTGCAAATCAAACTTTTTTTGCTAATCATCGACGAAAAGAGGCGCTTCTCAGAGTTCATAGATGAAACGATTTGCGTAGTGGCATGCGATCCGGGAACGCTCTTCAACCCATGAGGCCTTAACGCAAGATTTTTGGTTTGCCGTAAGATACCCGTTTGGATTAGCGAAATACCGACCAACGATCGTAAGGCTATCTTCAAATATAAAAAAAGTCTTTGCTGTTTTTATTGAAAACCTAAATGTCTAAATTGCTGTGGTTGCTAACAGTGTCTTTTTCGTCTTTTCTGAATTATGTCCGAACGACATTTTAGAAAACAAGAATGGTCATGCCTATGCAGACGAACGAGCTGACATGTTGTAGGTAGTAAAGGTAAAAGTGGCTGTTGCTAAACATTACAAGGTTATCTGCGTAGAACACCATATCGAGTTGAGTATTTCGGTTCTCGACGATACCAAACGAGTTTATAAGGAAAACAGAGAAAAGCAGGAGGCTTAGACTGTTATCGTTAATCATTGTAATGTTTTAAATGGTGGTTTCAGTTTTGCAATACCTTGACATATTGTGGGGTTGCAGCCTGCTTCTTTTGGAGTATGTCTTTCAGCAATTGTAGGAAGCCTGCCTGACCGATTCAAAAGTGAATTTTAATCCCCAGCATTAAATCAACAGCCGCGGGTGTCCACAAATATAACATAAAGGAATAATTCTTGCCGGCTTGCATCGAACTAAATATGTCCCGAGGAGCGTTAAGCAATTCAAGCATCGAGCAGTGGGTCTGAAGACTATGATGGTCGGAAAGGAAAAGATTTCAGGTAGGCGGTAAACCATAGATGAGATCGGAAGTCTGCAGCAGCTAGCAACACCGGGCCAATTTTTCAGAATTACCGTCTGGAATCACATCGTTGTCTAAAAAAGGTGAATACGTTTGGAAAAAACATTGGCTGGAATTTCTTTTTCGTTGCGATGTGTGTAATAGACGTCCTTATATAAGGTTTTCAATGTATTCCGACCTTCGTTCTTTAATGCATTTGAATTATCACTGCTGTGTGAACAAAACATCGGAATTATTTCATTAGTATGACATTAGTTCCTTGCCGCCACCGGAAACCGGTTGCGTTTTGGTGGACTTAGCAGGGGCGTCTCTAACTAACGTACAAAACGGCGTCGTAACCATATTCCATGATAACATTTGCCAACGTTCAGACTTGAATAAGCGATTGTCGCATGTTCATGTTTATCATGGCGATGCACTCAAAGATCTATTCTTAATTAATAGGATTTGTTTGCACCAGGATGCGTATTAAGATTATTAGAAATATTTTCCCTTTGTTTGATTGATACTTATGGCTAAATCATTCAGTCTTTTGCGGGACTCTATCCCAATTGTTCACATGTTGCGGGAACTCCTCTAGGCACGGACACTCCTCGCAAAGACCATGTCGTACTCGATATCTGTGCTTCGGGCCTGTGATTCTTATATATAATTCCTACCTCATTATCTTGGACATCTTGAAAGCATCGAAAGATATAGATTAATGCAAGCTTTGTTTGTACACCTGAGGCGGTCCCCGCGATCTGCATGTTTTCATTTCACCAGTTATCTGCAGAAAGCATAGTCGGCATCTATATATAAACTAGACAATTAAGTAGTATGCTTAGTAATATAATGCAATGGATATTTTCTCTAGTAGCCAGAATACCTTAAGGCTTTAGGATGCTTTTGAACCATTCAGGCAATTAATCATTTCATAATGATAGATTCTAGCAACGATGCGATGGCCACATTATGCCAGTTAGACGCTCATTGAAGTGTTTTGTGGGTCTGCCATGCGCTTTTATGAACTGTAGCTACAACTCAACCAACACTAGATGAGGTACCAGTTTTTTATGGATTGCGCTCGCTTTACGGTCAAGACGACTATTTGTTACAACCAAATATATCTGTAAAATATTATGTTTTCTGACAATGCCCATCTGCCCAAAGAATCTCAGGTAGATAAGTGCAAGAATGATTAGCGTTTGTTTAACTTTGCAGATCGTTTAGAGATAAATGAACGTTATTGTTGAATCGCGACATTCCTTCTTTTCTAATGTCGCACAGAAAGAGCGGCAGCATGTATTATGTAGCAGTGTCGTAAAGCATATCATTTATATTAATGTAACTTACTAGCTATACGAAAAGACACGTCTTATCTAAGATTGAATTGTGGCTTCTCATTGAAATTTATCTGCCTAACGTTGTTGGATACTATATAGACATATAATGCAGTGCTCAACGTATGCCTGGTACCGCATACTGTCTTCAGCATCCTGTTGAATTAGTTGTCGTTGCCATAGAAGCCCCGTATCAACAAATACACAGCCTTTCTGGTCTAGTAGTGCTTAAACAACGAAGATATAAGCCTATCTCGCCTATTTTGCTAGCATATGCCGGTGGTTCTCTGGTTCCATCTTGGGTGGAGTTGGCATGTACGGTAGCTCCTCTGTCTCGCAACTACGAAGTAGTATTTTGTTACATCACTGTCGAAATAGATTTTCTCTATACTTCCTAGAAGTAGCAGTACATAGCCCAGCCTGAGGGTGGCCTGGCATTGGTGAATACGGTACTACGCATGAAGTACGTGACCTCACTCATTTTTAGGAAATCGTGAAAAACCTCTTTTTTGTCCCACCACTGGGATATCGCCAATATTAGTTTTAGCATTTAGTATTAAGGCTATTACTAGGGGAAGTCTTGAAAAACTACATTTTCTCAGTTCTTTGTGCACTTACAGATTATTATTAAACTTTAATCTATTCCGGTCATATATTCAACCCACTCATATAATGCGTATGTGAAAAGAAAAATACGAAAAACGCATTAAGGCTTCATTGAACGATTTGCACCGAAAACAAGCATCCATTTAATCCACTAGAAGTAGTAGAAATTCAGCTTTAATAAAAAAAAAAAAACTATTTTACTAGATCCTCTGACAATAAAGGTCACAATCAAGCAAAACTTATTTATTCATTTTTGCTAAAAGCACCATTCAAATGATTGAAATACAAATACTTATAATTTAATTACTGCTTACGTTTTAGGGGTTTACAAAACAAGCTTTTACGTATCACAGAGATAGCATCTTTGTCCGAGCACTACTTTCGCGTAACTAACCTTCGCCATTTGTTTGTAAGAGATAAGTCATAATAACGCTTCATTTGCCTACATATAATTATCGAACATAGAGAACACATACAAAGAGTAAGGTCGGCTTACGCCGACGTTGCCGTATGGTTGCATTTAGTTTTGTCGTGAAAGCCTTCTTATAGGACATCCGCTGAACCATTATAGGAAAAAACACTGACACAACCTCAGTCTCCGCAAAGCTTAAGCAATAAAACATGCAACCAACTGTAGAGTGCTTATCGCAAACACGGAATGCTGGCGATGGCATCCGAGTGACCATTATAAACGGGTGTTTGAGTTCATCAAGGAACGGCCGGTTTGCGGAGCAGGTAATTTTCATTTGCGTGTTGAGTGATTAAACAACGATTAATGAATAAACAGATCTTTCCTATAAAGAACTAGTCAGTTAACTTCATTGAGTCATGTGTTTGCCGTTCTAAATATACCCAGACTTTGCACAAGATTGCAGTTAGAGATCGCTCGTTCGTTACTACCGTTTCGCTCAGTACACAGTATCAGTAGTTACCACTAATGCGGCTCTTCTCTTACTTGCCGCCAAAGGAAGAATATGCATCTCAGGTTACCCTTAACGCCAGCTAATCGTCTTGCAGTTTCGAAAGTGGACTTTTGTTTTTCGGATTTTCTTTGTCAAAACGTAGGCCTCGGTCGTGAACCTAGTTCTCAGTAGGGACTGGACTCTTTTCATACGCCCGTGCTCATATGAAACAGAAATTTTTGCTGCATAATAGAGTGTACGCACTTTATCATAAGGGGCAGCTTTTGACGGTTTATGAGCTAATTCGCCTCCTCATACGGTCAAAATTGTGTTAACCAAAAACGCGTAGAGAAGCTCAAGGCTAATCACTGTGCGCTCAAACGTTATTTCATCGTTTTAATTATAACTAATATTAATTGTACAGATGTAATACTGCTTGAGTCGTTTCTAACCTACACATCATAGATCAGTGTACTATCCTACTGGTGACTTATGCTTCCCCACGGGGTGGTGAGCCCTGGCTTGTGCGTACAGTATTTGGTCGCTGCGAAAGCTAACGTGAGATCATGTGAGTGGCATTGAATCGTGTGCGGCAGACGTTAAAGTCATAGTCACGTTTTTGCTGAATTTAGGCGCCGATATCATCTCTAAGGACAGCTGACACTGGACGGTCAGATTGTTGTTTAGCGAAGTATTAGAAGGCAAATGTTGTTAGTGGATAACCTGTTCGCTGCGAACAATAGCTGTGGTAAGAATAAGAATGACTGTCATGTCGTTGTTCTCATGCATGTAGGCGCCGTGCGTGGCAGCGCACGCTGGGTATATCAAAATCGTCAACCCACTTCTCCAAGCAAGTGCCGACCCACACGCTGTTACACTGAAAGGACGCACGGCTTTTGACGTCGCTGAGATAAGACACTACATGCAAAAATCGACAACAGATAAACGTTTCGTACTATAACGTTCTACCGTAGGCTGAAAATGCACTCTGTCCTTAAATTCCTTAGCGGTAACGGCCGGTGAGTGTTAACTTCTGAAGGTACAGTGATTTTTTTTAGAAATCCCTGCTTATCTTTGTTTTATCGTGATATACCTATTCTTAATCAAGCATTACCTTTGTCAGCTTTCACTTTCTCGATGGAAAGGCTCAGCACCAAACTTATTCTGGGAGTTCGATGAAAACTTCGCATGGTTATATTTTGCGATTTCAGGTCAACGGCAAAACTGCTAATCTTAGGGACACGTTGTGATATAGGTTCGAACCCGGCATAGAACCAGGCATACACATACTTTGTTCGGTGCTGCGGGTTAACCGTAGGATGAAATGCTTAACTGCAATACCGATGCAAAACTCGAGACATAGAGAGGTCAATGCCAAAGGAATCCTGGCCTTGTGCAGGTTTGTTACGACGGTACCGCTTGTTCCATCTGACTTTCTTGTACACCTTTAGAAATTGCTTACTGTTATTGAGGCAATCAACGTATATTTATGGAGGGAAGAGATATATAAACATATACATGAAACATATCTATCTCTTGTGTTAATTATGAGCGATGTTTAAAAGGTTTGGTAAATAAAGGTTTTTTTAAAATCCTTTAAACGGATTTATTCATAACGGGGCTTTAAAAGGATACATACATTCTCTCACGTACATATAGGTTTTTCTAGTCGTATTAAACTCGAGGTGTTTTTATTTGTATGTGAACTGCAGGGACTTGTGACTCGCCACAAAACACGAACGCACGCAGGCAGAAAAAGAAGGTTCTGTTGAATAGTAAAAACCACAATAATCCTAGTATGGCGTATATACTGAAATCAGCGTAGCCAACTCTGAGACTGCTAATGAAGATCAATATTTGCTTTCGTCTGATCTTAGCTTGTTAGTGTTTGCAAGAGCATTGCGTAGCTTTTCATATGCGCCTACTTTTAGAAGAATGTAATCTTGAAGAGGTGAGAATAACCGGAGTCGATGTTGGGAACAAACTTCTCGCTCCCGATAAGGAAACCATGGACGAAGACAGTAGCCTGAACTTGCCGATAGCAGTCTCAAGTAAGTGCTTTTAACAAGTGCCTATATTTGCATAGCAACATGGATTTACCCGCGCAAACAGTTAAATATGATCTTTTTTTACAAAAGTGGCCCACATTTGTGTGTGACATCAATTTTTTTTTTCTTTACATGAAAATAGTTGTCATCAAGGGTGTGTTAACAAAGCTTACATCTCATACGCACTATATGCGGACATCGTTGATATTCGTATTGCGTCAACTTAAAAAGGATGATACCATGCTCACAAAGGGCGTCCAGGTCACTGGCGGTGTTAATACTATTCTTCAAGATATAGCTATAAAATCTCTGATACTCGTTATAACAGATTGAGCATTATAGAAATGTGTTACTTATCCAGGTAGAAATAGATTCTCACATGTAAAACCAATTAGAAAATTGGTTCGACAAGGTGATTAAAGACTCTAAGGTTATTCGTACTGCCAGACTTGGTAAATTTATATTTGTGCTAGTTAAATTAAATGAATCGTCATAACAACAAACTGGACAAACTTCGTCCATTGATTTATGACGTTTCTTCATTGACATCGGGTTAAGAAGTGTTGAGAAAACGTCACTTGGAAGTACATATTTTTACTTTATTTTCGCTCACTTTGAAGTTCCAAAGTTGTCTAGTCCTGCTTCATGCAATATGGGGCATGTGTTCTAATTTATGTGCGCAATAATTGAGCTTTGTGTATATGTACGTTACTAGGAACTCTGATATCACTAGTTCTACACTCTGTACCAGCAAGTAAATTTTAGCATGCACCACGTATACGACTAGTTTCGACACAAGTGCCCTAAGATCTCCGAAGACAAAAACTACTTCTATTCGGATTTTATATATTACTTGTATGCATGCATAGCCACAAACTTAGCGACAGTGATCACTTATGTCAGACCTATGACATTTGACTGTTCTTTAGAGCATTAAGCTGTATTAGCTTGTTTATGTCGTTCGGCACAGACTGTTCATTTTTGCTAGCGAGTGGATCCGTGCCGAGTACGTCGAGATGTAATGTCACTTAGACGCTGTCAACGGTTACCCACAGCATTCGCTCATCTCATACGATCGCGTACAGGATAATAATAGTCAGCGGTGTGCTACCAGCCCTATTCGCGACCATCTTAACTTCCATCGGTGCAGTCACTGCAGCGGTACTTTTCTTTCCAAAAGCAGCGGTTTTCTAGGTGAAAAAAGAACTAGTTCCAACTAGAGAGCTATTTAAGGGTAGTCCTGTTCTATGAAAACCACCTGACAAAACCGACGTCCACAAAATTTTTCTATACAATAATATGCTATATATGAGATTTACTGTTATTCGTTATATTGTTGCACATGTAGGCGTGGGTATTCGAACCAGCAATCATTACAGAGTAGCCATGCAGTGAAGTGTTTTTATAGATAGACGAGAACGTGATCGTGTGAGTCTCTACAGTTGAGATTTCGGAACGCTGTTCATACCATTAAATTTACATCGACGCTGTTGTTAAGAGATTTTACTGGACCATTTACTCGCCTTTGGCGAAGACCTCTTTATAGCTGGCGCGACAGCTATTAAAAATGGTTCTTGAAGCATATACCGTTTTGCTAGCAGTATATCGTAATGCTTTGTTGTGCTTGTATCGATAACCGCTTTGTTGTTTCATGTGTTCGTCAACTACTTTATTACCAGGGAATGGTATCTAATACCGCAGATAGCGAACAAGGTACCAGGATAGCCTGTTGGAGAGATTTTTTTGCTGTATACCTGAATTAAACTACTCATTTCAACTCTAACCTAATGATTCGATTGTTCAACGCATAGTGTAATACTGCATATTGTAGTCAGTTGATTACCTTGGTACTATGCACACAGTTTTAGTCTCACCAAGCAAGGGAAAAAACATAATAAAACATTACATATAATGGTTGCGCGATTGAGCGCTAAGATTTTGAAAGTATCAGAAGTTTTTTTGTAGACGAAGATCAAACACGTGCAAAATTTCACTTTGTAGTGAACCTAAAGGAACAGAAAGCGCTAGATGTGACATTCGATGGCCCTAACTAGGTAAAAGGAATAAGCTGTGGGAACTGTGTGAATAGTACTTTCCAGCTCTGTAAAGAATAGAATTTTTCCTAGCATAATGAAACAAAAAATTATTTCTTTATGAGTTATCAGAGAATCGGAATTTTTTTTTGTACAAAAATAATAATACTGATAACTGATTGTTTTTTGTCCATGACGCTCATCGTCGACGTACCCCGGACATCCTTTATAGCTTTGTCACATTACCAATTTGTTAATGTACCGAACTTCGATGCTTTAAAAGCTAACCTTTGGACCACTGGATTGCTTAAACAGAGTGAACCGTATCGTAGTCATGGTAGAGTAGAATCTATCAAAAAATTGTCGTTCCGTTAATAACTCGTAAGCATTTCTTTCTGTTAATTTATTTTTACGGTATTTTTTTCTGAGGTATCATTTCTGCGATTGTTAGTATAATTTTTACAACGAAGCATCCGTTGTAATCCAAAAAGGTACCGAAGAGACATTCACAACTGTAATTTTTTTAAGCTTTTATGTATCAAGAATTAGTAACAGCTTTAAGGGAATTAATTTCATTGTTTAGTAATGAGGTTTTGTTGCTTGCGTTTCCATGGGACTTCTTACATAACACAATCGCTCTTCATGTATTCACAAACACCACAATTTTTAAGCGAATTTCGCAGTTATTATAGAAATCTGTAATAGATATTTTGCCAGAACTATGAACTAAATGATTACGAACTAGTCCATAGCTGTGTAGTTTATGGTTCATTTGAAACTTCACAAAGATAACAACAAAATCGCCACTAAAGAGTGCAAGTAAATGCAGTCGATATATGTATATATATAGCTTCGACCAATACTGCATAATTTACCTATGGGAAGCGACTGATCAAAATTGATCAAAATAATCAATCAGTCAAAGGCCAAGCTCTGAGCTGACAAAGTGTCGTTTGGATTTTTCTATCTGTTTTTCATTCATTTTTTTTTGTCTAACTAGCACCAATTGCAATGGTGCTAATGGATTAAGTCAAATGTAACGTTGGTAAAGTCGATAGAGTAGTGAAAGTGAAAGAGTTGGTAGAGCAGAAAAAACACTCTAAGACAGAGTGTTTCTTGCAGTTTTTGTTAATCCTCGCAGGCGCTGCATATATTATTGAATTTTATACTAATAAAGGCAAAAAGATTCAGTCAAGTGTTTTTAGTCCATACCTTGCTCTAGAATTTTATCAATCGAAAACACGCATCTTATTTAGAAAAAAAAAATAAAAAAGCTGTGTTGTCTGGCACCCTTTACGTATTCATTTTCATTTATCAATTCTATTTCATTTATCATTTTTAGTTAGCTTCGCATTGAGAGTTAATGAGCTAAATGAAAAAGTTGACCAAAGTCGCTCAACATTCGTCTGTTACAGGTTAGACTTGTACTAATACCAATGGTGGCGTTCCCATATTGGTATGATTCTTAAAATACATTATCTAACAGTACAAATATATTTGAATATTATATTTTTTTTTATTTCGCAGCAGTGTAATATACACTTTGATGTACAAATACTTATTGTGGTTACATCTATGTGTCGCACTAAAGAAGCAGCTTAGCCAAGATATCGCAATATTTTCAGATCTAGTGCAATTTCAAGAGTGGAACATATACCTTCAAGCATAATTTCATGTAGCTAAGTATCCTACTGTATAGAACAAGCTAATTACAGACTGTAGTAAGAGTTTATTGAATGCAACGAATCGAATTAAAGAAATTAGCCATTAAGGTATTGAATGTATAAGATGAAATGAAAAATTCCTAATCATACTAAAAATAATTTATGTTGACGTGTGTTTACTTAAATTGAATAGAATGCAATAAAAGCATTATCTTTTAATGATATAAATAATCTTGTAAATAGTGTAAAAACACAGAAGGCACATGGTGTCAGATCAACTGAAAATGCAACGTTTCAGAGTTAACCACTTGATAACTCACGTTTATTCATTTCCGAATGATACAGGCACCCTCACGACTGCTAAATCCTCTCCAAGAAATTTGCGGAATGGCGTCTTTTTTCCTGTAGGCTAAAAAGAAAATTTCTTCCATTCACACAGTTTGTGTAATTGTGAAGGATGTCGACTAAAACACTGTGCGGAAGGTTCAGATAATCCAAAAAAATTAAATGCTGCGCTTGTCGAAATGTGATTGTTAGCTGTATGCGAATACTAAAGTGCGAGCTGTAAAGGCCATGCATACGATTTTTAGGAGCTGACACTTTGAAGACAAGAGAGATAAGCTCTTCAATATCGTTACGCCGCCGGATAGAAAAAGGCTTTATAAACATGGCCATAAGTGGCAAAATATCCACCGATAAAATACATACAAATATAGCGTTTATTCTAAAGGATGCTTACGTCAAAAAATATTCTTTATCAGGAAGAACCTTCTAAAAAATGAACATTTTTTTCAATAATAATATAATGTACAGATAAGATCCCAAGTGGTAAAGCCTCCGTATAGACGCGATTATTTTCCCTTACACATTGCGTATAGTCATATAAGTTCAACAAAATTCTAAGCGCAGACTTTGTCGATATTCAACGTCAATTTTGTTATTGGCACTATTTATACAATGAATACCCAAAACAAGGGAGAGGTAGGTTTTAAATGTCATTCCTGAAAATACAGGAAGCATTGTTTTCCAAAAAAATTTATTAGCATAGTGGAATCGTTGAGGTGTTTTGTGTTAGCGGAAAAAGCAGAAACGATGTATTTGATTATTAAACAGGTTTAGTTCCATTGCGACCGGTCTTTAAATAAAGTATTGTCTAAAAGGTACAAAATGGCCCCATCGCCAGTGTTTGCTCTACACACTTTTAATTAGAACATACCTCGAGTGTAATGGTGTTTATGAACTGTACAATCTTATTTGAATTTTGGATTTTGCTTTTTTTTTTTTACCAAGGGCATTTTTCCTACCAAAATCAAACGTAGAAATAATTAAGTTCGGCGAAAAATTGTAAGTTCCATGCCTATTGTCAACATGTTCCTAACTGAGTCAGCGTGTCATGTCCTCAGTGGTGACATTTTTGCTTATTAAATCCAGAGACGCGTGAAATGGTTTTGGTTCGAAACCAATGAGACATTTCCTTCGTTTCGTGGTGAGGGCCAGGCTACTGAAGCTCTATATAAAGAAAGTACTTCACGTAAGAGCCCAAGTAGCCTAAGTATGAAAATAACTGCCGTGTTCATTAAAAGGAATAATTTAGAGCGACGGCCGACCCGTAGTTGATGTCGACCTGGATCGGCCGTCATGAGCTGCCGTATGTCGTTGAGCGACTGGAGAAGGCAGAAGTTCGGTCTAAGCCTTCATCTAAGGACAGCAATGAAATTATGTGTTGAGCTCAAGGACATTTTTGATTAGTTGATCTAAATACATTATTACATTTAATTTCTCTAGATTGGCCTACTACTGGACTGAAAGACTCTACTTAAAATACACTGAGTTCGTAGCCAATTCGCAGTCACTGCTGATAAACATTTACAGTAATGATAAAGTATATGTCTATTTTGTGCGATTTACGACGCCCATATTTATATTCTTCTAGATACTTCTAAATAATGACACTTGTTCAAACCACCTACTTGACTTTAGCGAAACTTATTCACTGAAATAAGAGACTTATAGCCATATGGTGTTCTGAATATAATCGGCAGCGTATCCGTCTTTAGTTTATTTCTATTTAAATTATTTGGGCATAACTGGTTGTCAATACTATAACTGCCGAAATAAATAGCTGTTGTTATCTGTTCACGCCATATTAGATCGAAACATCCACTTTGTTGTTCGATAACGACTCTATGTATTATGATATAATTGTATTGCAACTTTGAAACGTCACTAAGCACAGTTTCGACGATAGGGCTGATCCTTGGTGAGGTCGGGCTGAGCCTCTGGCTGTGACTGAAAAAACCGCACCATAGCATTTTTAGCACGCAAGACAGTAATAAGAAATTGCTATTGAGCTTAGTAAACGAAGACGAGAGGATATCAGATTTGTGGTAAGCACAACGTAAGTGTCATTTTGTTTCATTCAGCTATTCATAACACCTCAGTTGTATCAACTACAGTTGTGTTGTGTTGTTCAATGCCCATGGATTAGAATGAGCGGTTTTTGAAATTTGCAAATATAATGACAATTTACAGTTAACGATTGGTAAGATAACTCTGGCATCTTATTTGGCAAATAACGGACCCGCAGTCTGGTACATATGGCAAGGATAAACCTGGATCTGTATGGCTGTTAAAACAATGAGTTCTGCATTCATGGTCGTGTGCTGAAGCAGAAAAACGGAAGATCTAATGATTAACATAGCCCAATATAATTCATGAGCTAAAACTTTTAACTGTCAATCAGAGATTACTGTCGCACCAATCCATTAATGTCATTAGTTCTGCTAGCCTGTGTGTTTACGTGTCTCTCTAACATGTGCTGAGAAAAAAAAATTAAAAGAAAAAGGTAATTCAGGATTCCAGACAGTTCCCAGATAGAGAAGCTATGGCGAGCCTTTGAAGCAAATGGCTCCTAAGATGTCGCTGATCCATCATATACTCCCCTTTAAACCCTATTACTCATAGGCAACAAAGATTAAACGATTTGTTTACTTTAAGTTTGTCGAACTTATGCGAGTGTAGGCTAGCAATATTTAGACCTAGAATTAGCAGCATTCATTCAAGCTTAGTTAAATGTCAAATACATTATGAGAAGCCGTTTGATTTAACGATTTTCGTTTGGTTGGCACAATAAGTTGGTTCACTAGTATTTTTTTTTAGTAATGGTTGTTAGCAGGACAACCTAACGAGTTACTGTGAGTTAGAACTTACACTTGTGACTTGTTATTTGATTAATAAACATGTTTTTTAGTATACTTATGCGCTACCAGTTGACGTTTAAACTAGGCAGTGCTCCTCATAAAAACTATTTAGAAAGAGTTTCTAATTGTCAATATACCGACCAATGTTATACACGACTTTGTAAGATACCCAAAACGTTCAATTCCAGTTTTTTCAACATAGGGTGATCGTTTAATACGACCTAATACCCTGTTGGAGTCTGTATATCTGAGTACGATATGGTTAAATTAAATGTACCATATACTGGAAATCAAGAGTGATTCCTAATATTTTATTTGTAACATATAACAGAGAACCACAATAGCTCCCAGAAGAACCCTTATATATGAATGGGTTTGACTTAAATAAATCGACTCCTCGGCCATTTATCTTTTGACTTATATGCCATTTATATGAATGAAGGCTTTAACGCAAGTCGGATGCTATTCTTTGACTTAACTTAGTTTAAGGTGTTCCGCACAATTACTAGCGATGAGGTAATGAGAGAAAGACATGGAGAAAGTTCATGGTTAGCCGCGTTTAAAGGTTATGATATAAACAATTTAAGCAACACAGACTATATACTATATTGAATAATAGACGTCAATTTCTTACAGTGCTACTGAGATCCTACAACAAAGTCAGTAAGGGATTTCTTAGCATCTAGGTATTAGTCAAACTAGCGTAATTTTTAATTTACCCATGTTCCACGATCAAATGTCTAAGAGAAGGGTTAAAGCCGTGATGCGATAATTTGCCGAGGTGCTTTACAAGACTATGTGGAAATACCCTGACTTCTGACATTACGTTACATGTAATTGATCATACTCCGCAAATCAAATTGTGATTTGATATAAAGCTGCATACAAGCGATACTTATTACAGAAATCCGATTCGCTCATAAACACTCGTTTGTTGAATAATCTTTCCAGAGAGTGCACATACAACAAGGTGATTCTTCCAGAGCGTACACATACAAGAAAGATGATTCGACCTTGGTATATTATTATTGCGCAACAAAAAAATAAGCAGTAATTACGACAAGCGAGCTCATCGTACATTGAATGTATAAATACAGATAACATTTTAACCACACTTTCTTACATTGTACAAATACCTAAGTTCCTGACGATGATTCCTGCAGACGAAGGTGTCTTTACCAAACAATCTCATAACCTTGTGTGATATTCAGGTTCAGAACCATAACAAGTCTTTTTTAATAATTGACTTTTATTATAAAATATAGCATATTTCCCCTAGAGTTAACTAATAGAAGCCAGGCTTTGATGTTGAGCTCTCACTTGCTCGCTCTAGAATAATTTCCTTTGTTGTCTTTTGTGGACAACGGCTGGTCCCCCGTTGTAATCGATTAAGTACCTTTTGAAAATTTACATCAGTGGACATCAGGTGGTGAAGGCGCGGTTTAATTAAACCATTGGATACTTTCTGAAACTCTTGAATTCTTTTTTTCGTCCTCTGCTCGAGACTCAATGAGAGGACGCGAGGGAAACTTTGGATCTGTAAAGCACAATACAAAGCGATGAAAAGCGCTTGCTGGACGTTGTGATTCTTGTCACAGTTATTGTGGTACGATAAAAACAAAGTAATTAGCGTCAAATAACGTTATCGTTGTTCACTATAGTTGCTTTCGAATGCTAACAGTGAAAATAATGTCCACCTTAAAATATCTTGATTCTCAAAATATCTTGATTCTCTCTCATGGCTGTCTTTCCTGCTATGTCTTTTTTCTTCTTGAACAAAAACGAATTCCTGAAAAGCTGAATTAACAACGTTTACTAATAATAACGCGTGCCTTTAAAATTTAGTATCTGAGAAGCTTGGCTTAGTTATAATTTTCCACTATAAACATTTCACTTGGTCCCATAGCATAGGTAAGATAATGGCTCGAAGGCCTTTCTTGGTAAACGATATAAGCGACGCCTGGTTGAGTCCGAATCGTAACATTCTATCAGTTAGTTATGCCGCTATCAAGGTCGAAATTTCTTAAATTATTACACAATGTTTTCATTATCATGCCATTACTTCGTTACGTATGCCTACCTGATATGAGAGATAACCCTGCTCAAGGAGATAATCGATGCTAGATGACAACTTTTTTAGGTTGATATTTAACAACAACGGAAATCTGGTTTGCATTATTTTGACGTCCGCCTCCGTACATGACAATTTTGCCGCAAGAAATTCAATTTTGCTCCCGTGAGGTTGTAATGCTTCATCGTCGGAAATTCGACGCTGCATATACCTTCCAAACCTGTCATCATCACAACGTAACACCCAAGGCTTGCTGATTGAGACGTTAATTTTGTGGGCTTGGTCAATTCGTTCTTTCATTACGTCGAGGTTATGATGCAGTATCCACAGATCTGCCCGAATTTCGTCTTTGGTGATTCCAGCATCCAGTAGCATGCTAAGGATATCCTGGATGCGTCTAATTGGCAAGACAAAGAGATATGGACTTCTTTGCAGATAGTGCAATAATTCGTAACTATCTGACAAACCAATGTACTGATGCAAAGTTGTATATAGTTCTTCGAACGTTTTCGTCAAACCATCAGTGGAGTACCTGAACATGAGCTTGTTGAAGAACATCTTCCGTTGAATACACAAAAACGCTTTCGTCTCTGGGTTTGTGTTAATTTTAAGGCGTTCCTCAAGCGTAGCGAATTCTTGAGTCCAAATCCACTTTGCTAGACGTAATCGATGAACTTCGACACCGTAGAAACTGATTAATCGCAAGCGCGTTTCGACTTCTTGCCAGCGCCCTCGTACGAATCTCTCCGTCTTAGGATCGATTAAATCTTGAGCTGCCTGTATAAAATGTTCTTCCGCGAGGACTGTGAGCGCGGGATAAGTCGAAATTAAATGCTTGATCCTCTGTGTACTCATGAGTAGGGAGCTTGCGACAGATCTAACAATATTTTTTTGTTGCCAATAAAGTTCCCTTGTGGAGATATAAGTACATAACGCTTCCTCACTTAAAATGGATAATTTCGGACTGATTTCACAACTGCCATTCGTCACACTGCCACTAGCCGGTACGTCTTTGCTTTTGGTCAGATATATTTCTATGTTTGAATTTCCTGGCGCAGGATTTTCAATAACCACAAAAGCTCGGTTAGTGATCTGTAGTGGGAATGAAGTCTTGTATTGAACTGCAAATATTCTTTTGCATCCATTGAAGAACATATTTTTTTTAAAGATTTTTTTAACGTTTTCTGAGCCCCAGCAGTCGTTTCCACATACCAAAGTCGAACAAACAAACTTTTAGAGGAATTAAGAATAGAACACCTGATTTTCGCAGCTTGCCCCGAAGAGAGCTGCCCAGGCAGCTCAGCGTTCCGTAGCATTTTTTAAATGACGGAAAGAATCGGTACAGACTGAGCGTGCATGAAGTTAAGTAAAAGAAGGCTGGCGAATCTATGGTTATTTCTTGATTTAACATTCTTAAACAAATTAAAAATAAGTCCAGTCCTTCTTTATTGGCCATTGTATAAAATCGGTGTGAAATTAAATTAAGTATCTCTTTATATCTTGTTATATAAGTATATCTTGTTTATTTTATAAAAAGCTTTTAGAAAATAAAGTAACTTTGACCAATGGTTATAGATATCAGATTTTAGCAATTCATACATTAGGAAAAAGTAAACGCGTTCAAGCTAAATTTATTACCGATTCGATGTACACACAGGTGAACAAAGACCAACTTATCTGTTCTTTTTATTCAATCTGTACAGTTCTAGTGATAAATGGCTACGGGATAGATTCTAAGTTTTCAACCGGGTTTTAAAATGTTTTGAAATTATACGAAATTATTTTCAAAGCCGCGAGACGGTACCTTTGAAGAAAACAATTTCCGTCTGAAAAGGTAAATCATGTGGCTCCGATTTGCAAGAATTTATGCAAACTATAAGCTGCTTCGCCGATTTTACGATTAACAGATAATGCATCCGTAAAAATGGTAATAATCTGAATGCGTAATAACAATATTAATGACAATGTTTTTCTAACTTTACTTACTTAACTAATGTTTTCTAACTCTTTGGTGCATCCTTATACTAGCACACACGTTCATTTGTATCTGTGAATTTGTTTTTGGTATTCTAACGTGGCACTAACGCAATTGCAATTATATCAAATAATATGGAAATGGCTGTTAATCTACTTGCTTATTCATACATGGTTATATATTGCGCATTTGCCTCCCCAAGCTAAATAATGCCCCTCTAGATTACAAAGCGGACAAATTCAACCTCGGCTGTGTGCAATTATAGTAGTTATCTAATTACATATGTTGCTACTGGGTTGAAAACAGGTAGGAGAAACGCTAAGTAGAAAATATTTTCGGTATAATTGTTGAAGTACATTTTAAACAGCCCATTGAGTTCCTGAAAGCATCACCTTTAAAACTAAAATTACATGTAGCTGTGCGTAAAGTAAGTGACCTTATTACATGTTTTCATTAGCGAGCCTGTTATTACCGATGTGCATTAAGGAAGGCGCCCTGTTACATGATCTCCATAAATATCATTAAAACAATTCAAAATGCACTTGCACTCTGCAGTCTTTGAGATCAGAGACCATTTTCTCTGATATCAATCAGTTGTACTAAGCCATGGAAAAACAAAAGGTCGAGTGATTCCCTCTTGGAGAAACAGTGGTGGAAACAGCCTGCCGCGTAATCCTTGCATTCGGTGCAAGATGTACCATCAGAAACATCAGGAGCGCTTGGTTCAATAAATTCTATGGAGGAAATTTTGAACTCGAAGATGAACGACGTGCGAAGGTGGATAACGAAAAATTGAACGTAGTAGTGAAAGCCAGCTAATTTCAAAGTGAACGTGTGTAAGGGACGGATTTAGTATATGTAAAAATGTCATACTTGCTTACCTCGATCAAACTAATAATATAAAAAATAAGCAAATGGGTGCTGCTTGATTATAGCAAGTACGGAGTATATATATATATATATATGTATAATGTCCCGCACTCGGTCATATTTGGAGTGTATTTGATAATGTGATAAAACACCTTGATGTTTTCTGCACACACACATTTGCTAAGCCTCTAAAACATAATGAACACCTAACAAACGGAAGCAAACGGTAGAACGTTCATTGTTGTGATCATATTACCAAATACACTCCAGATATGACCGAGTGCGGAACATACATATATATATATATATATATTGCGCTGAAAATGAATCCTAGGTAGTTCAATTGATCATCGGTTTCCATAAAGTACCCATCAGAACTGTGTGGGAGGAGTGCTATTATCGGCATTTGTTAATCATAATAATGAAAGCATAATACTGAGGCTGCGAGTGGAGTAGCGTTCGGTACAAAAACAGACATATTCGCATTTTCTTTTGCAATTTCAGATGGATAACGATCAATACGACGAAGAGTACTATGACGATGATAATGGGTTATACCAGCTCGAGCCTCATGGGTAGGTAATGAGCGAGGCTATGCGCTTAAACCTGCTATACCTCGGTCATGCTATCCGCGAAGGCAATCTCGCCGAGATGCAAAATGTTTATGAGCGGTCTCTCGTTAACTTGATGGACCAATATGACAACAAGTTGCGTTTGCAACAAGAGGTGTTTGCTTTTTTTTTTTTTACGTTACAACACTGACCCATTCTTGCACTGAATTGGGATTTGTAATGAATGGATTCCATACAATAATCGTAATCGGTCGGATCAATGAGTGGATATAACTTCAGCGCTGCAATGTCACCCTATGCACAGCAGCAGAAGTTTATGATACCTGTCTGCTAACGTAATTACTGCTTTTGTAAATATTTGTGTGTCGATTATGGCTTAAGTGTATTACTATCAATTGGAAGAGATGATGAACGCGCTTCATATTAAGCAGTCAAAACTAGAAAACAAGGGTAAATCTCTCTTATCACAGTACAGCGCTACACATTGCATCACAAGAACCATAATAAAATAAAAAATGCAAAAGTAGCATTTGCAAGCTTTCTCTTGTGACCATACACGGCATATATAATAATTTTTTGCTATCATAGATTACCATTTTCAAGATCTCAAGTGGTTGGCAAGAAAATTTTTCGAATGTTACCAAGTTAGAATTGCTTTCGAGACTTAATAGACTATCGTACGCCAGACTTTTACAGCAATAAAATAAGGTACTATCCAAATGAGAGAAAATCACAGATAATAATGGTGCAAACATTGATTGAAAATAATAAGTACAGAAGCTGGAGCTCACTGTGTCACGTAGCATGCTGAACAACGCAATATATGAAGAAGTTATTCGTAAACAAATCGCACTAAAGTGCGGGTGCACTGACGACCGCTAACTATAAAAGATTCCATATAGCGCTGAATTTTCACAAACCTTTTTTAACACCAAAATATACAATAGAGAATGAACTAATGAAGATAAATGAAATATGAACTTGCCAATCGAAAATCGTCAGGAACCTCCTATGGAAGAAAAAATTCCTATTACTAATATTTTCTAACATTCTAGGCAAACCCAGAACAACTATATTACAATCCTTGAGAATCCCGGCTCAACTAAGGTAACACTTGCTCAGTGTCGGTCTCTTGTATGAGAAATTCAGTCTAAAGTAATACCTTAAGCGCTAGATTTGGGTTATCCTAAAAACTATATAATGAACAGCATACCGAGATCTTTCTTAGCCATTAAACCACTCCATTAAACGTTGACTAGTTTTTTTTACTATTCCAACAACCCTTTTCCCTCCTCTAACTATTCCAACAACATCGTTGGGTCGGTAAAATGTGTTCATGCTACGATATTAAAATAAAGACTGCATTAATGACAAGTGGTTTTAGTACAGTATGTACAATTCTTAGTCAAACCATTTATTATGTTGATACAATTAAATGAGGAAGTAAATTCCACGTTAAATTCGCAACACTGCGGCGCTTAATGGGTGAAACTTTTTTTTTTTAGAAATTCTTCTTTTACTTCAACAAGATTTCTATATCTGTCCTGTAGTTCCGCTTCTCTTTCTTTTTGCCTATGGACATCGTCTTCTAATCTTTCCAGTCGTCTCTGGATCGCAACACGCTCGTGTTTAGCTAATCTTTCAAAAGTTTCCTTCTCGCATTCGGCCTGCTCCAGTTGGTCCTGCAAATCTTGCAGCTGTTTGACGAGCGCCTGCGATCGCGAGTAGTAACCTCCAAGTAGGACACGAAGTTTTTTTTCCATTTTCCCAGCTTTTTTTGCCTCTCTAGCCATATGATTTCGATTGGTTTCCAGTCGTTTTTCGAGACTTTCGATACGGTCTTTTTTAGAACATAGATTGGCTCTCGTATAACGGTTCTGAGAAGGTAAATACAGAACTTGCGCCAGACATTCTTGCCACACCTGGGCAAACACGTCATCAGGGATGTTTCCGTGGCCCATTGCTTTACCTACGAATTCCATTTCATGCGCTACCATCTTCCTTGCTTGTTTAAGCTCATCATCAGATACTCCGCGAAACGAATGCTTTTCGAGATAAGCCATGCAACGACCTTGTTCAGCAGCGGGGTCCTTTTTCTTGGCTGGAGCCGTAGGATTCCGAGGGGGCACATGTCGCAAGAAGTCTCGATGCAGCATGATTAACATTTCCTGCTTAATTAGCTCTTCGGCGCGTTGCATTTCAGTCAGTGGTGCATCGTCAGCTTGAGGCGGCGGCCGCATGATCTGTAGGCAGAGGAAAAGGCAATATTAGATACTTCGCTTCAAAAGTTCTAGACATAAAAATCTTAGTAAGCTAAACGTGTATATTATTACGCTTATAGATAGAAAAAAAAACGAGCAGAAAAAAACAATTACATTTAGTGAGGGTAGAGAAATGTGTGACCATACCTGAGCGTTAATCTCGAAGGGTCGAGGTAAAAATCTTTGGATGGCCTGCGACTCGTTCTTCCACTCTCGCTCAGTTTTTTCCTGGCGCTCCTTTTCACGTAACGCATCCAGTTCTTCCTGATCAACAACCATATGAGAACTCTGAAAATAATACAAACTATCATGCTTAGAAACCTACCAGGAAACACCAGATCCATTTAGTTTGATAATAATAAGTGGTCTGATAAAGGTCTCATTAATTTATCTGTTGACGTTAATACATAACGTTATTAACCAGACAAGTTGTATCGATCAAACGAATCAATGGATAGCTGCCTGTACGTGCTAATCTACACATATGATGTTTACCTGCATCTATTTCTTGGAGTGAAATATAATGATCTCACTAATTAGTTCTACTTTTAACATGCAGTGATATCAGCTCACCTCTGCTTCCTTGGACGCTTCTGCAATCTCGTATTCTTCTGGCACGATCAGCTCATAATTATTCTTTGGAGCGGGAAGTTTCGACAACGCGGCTAATGGATCTGCGGCCACAATCTCTCCTGAGCGATTGATGTTCAATTTATCATGTAGTGGAGTTGGCGTCTCAGCTGCTGTCTTACCATCTACGGGTGGCCCAACCCGTGGGGTTGACCCGCTTTGGAATGGAGTAAGGATTTGATTGGGTGTTGCCTTGATCTGCGTTCCTGTGATTGCTAGCTGACTCTCATGCAACGGAGTATTAAGACCACCTTTAAGTGGCGTCTCTGTATTTTGCAACGCCATGAGGTTCTGCGCTTCTGTGAGAATGCTCTCACGAGAAGTGGCTGCTTGCCGAGGCGTGCGCATTGACATGGCTCCACTTGGTGTAGCGGTGACATCATAGTCAGCCAAGAGAGTTTCAGAAGCTCTATCACCCCCATCCGCGCTTTCCCTAGCTGTCTGGTTTGCCTTCCCTATCTTGACAAGTTGTTCTAAGTCACTTTCTGACACCTGCGGCTCAGGAAGGACCAACTTCGTGCGTTTCTTTAAGGGCTCCTGAACTATACTCGGAATGTCGTTTTCTTTGCGATGCTTAAGTTTTTGTAAGTCTTTCTTACGTTCCTTTTCTTCTCGTTCTACTCTTAACTGTCCATCGAGATCTTGTTGACGCAACCGATCAAAATCTGCATCCATTGGATCATATGATTCTTGTGAAGTGTCGTAGAATCCGGCCGCAGGTTTCTTCTCGAACGGTATTTCAGCATTGTAATCAATCATGTACTTTTTTCTTTTTGTCTTCTTTTGCAGCTCGATGCCAGCCATCCTCAGTTCTCTTCGCTTCTGTAAGTTGGCCAGCCGCTTGGCTTCCTCAAGTTGCTTCTCTCGCGCCTTTCTTTTTGCTTTTTTACCTTGAGTGTTCGCCAGACGAGCTCGAGCTTCCGAGAGCATTTCAAGTTCATCTTCGTCCATATCTTTTGGATCGGGACGCGCTGGTTTAGTTTCAGGGTTGGGGTCTATTTCTCCCGGACGTAGTTTTCGTGAATCGTCCAAGGTTTCTCCCCCTTCCTCTTTACGCTGTGCCTGATCTAGTAGTAGTTCATAGTGCTCAATGCACTGCGCTGCTGTACGACCAATAACTGGCGCAATGGTTCGCCATTGCATTGGCATCAATTTAGCCAAATGAAGTAATTTCTCTTCTTCGTCACGTGTCCATTCTGTTTTCTTTATCGATGGATCTAACCATTCGTACCATCGAGCTTTGCACTGCAAGTCCAAATAAAGAAAATCTATAGCTGTACAACATACGAAAAGATACTACATAGTAAGAATTTAGTGGTGAATAAATTTTAGGGGAAAATAAAGATAGGCATTTGTCTACAACCATTCTTTAATTTAATTTAGGTTTACCGTTGCGGAAGATATCGTAGGTTAGGTGGACTAAAATCAGTGTTCATCGCTTTATGCTTTATAGGTGTTGCAGTAATTACTTATAGATACTATGCTGATAAGCTCGCGGACACATCGTTCCGTTCAAATGATCGAACCGTGCAATATGCTTCAGGCACCGGACGGCCCTATGTGTTGTGGGTAGTCTCTTTGACAAAGCACACAGAATTAAAATTTTTTATACAGCTCCCGCCTGTCTTTACTAGAACGTACTTAAAGGTCATAAAATCATTCCTACAAGTGCGTGCTATTTATTAGACGATACCAGCCAATGTGTTAAAAAAAAAAGTTCCGCCAACAGCAGATTAAAAAATTCAAGAACTAATTACACATTCAAGAGGAAAATAAAGAATACACATATTCATCTCGAAGCAAATACGAAACGGTGCACTCTTAGCCCATTTAATGGAGTTCGGGAAAGTTTAATGCAGAATGCTCCTTGCATACCTCTTTTTTTAGTTTTACGCAAAAAAGCTGCCGCATTGTAGATATTACAAATGTGTAAAGATAGGAATCTATGAGATACTTATAGATAATTACCTGCTTTGCTGATTTCCGGTGAAGAAGACTGGCAATTCGTGACCATTGATTTTTGCCATATTTCATGACAGCGGCTTTGAGTATTTCATCTTCGGTGTTTCTCCATACACCTCCTTTTATCATTACACGGGGCATCTTGCTTATTTTCGGGACACCTCGGGCCTAAAAATTATAAGCAATTTCATTATCTTGTTAATATATAATTTCACTGGGTAACCGCGACAAACACGGGTCTTTCGAAAAAACAAAAAAAGGTCTCATTACGGTGCACCTTTGGTGAAATGCCGATTGATCACAAACATATTCGACACCGTATTAATACAGTCCCTAAATTCGAAGAATCGGTTATAATACACTTTTACGTCACAGCTTTATTCATACTTATTTCAAGTATAATCATTGCCCACTGACCGAATAGTCTCAATTTCTCTCCACAACTGATGATGCTTCTTTTTCGAACACTGTTTCGCTGCAGCGCAGTGTCTTACAGGCGCTGAGCTATCTTGTATCGTCTGCGCACTGCGTTTGGTCTCTCTGTTGGGTAGAACAGAACAAACCTTTGAGGAAGTACGAAGTCGTCAACAAACGCATGCAGAAACCAACATGGCGACAGTCGTAGCTCGCTAATGCAATGTCCCCGGGCGCACTAAATACAGGAGTATCTCTGATTAGTTGTGCGTTTAAAATACGTTTAATCGATTTATAATATCAAAAAATAATATGGTTTATAATTTGATTGTGCTATTTTTATATGGATAACATATCGCATTGGACCCTATGCTTCTGATCTCTAAATATGATTAGGTTCCTTGTTGTCTAAATCATTTACCTTTCATAACTCGCCTTATGCTTAGAATATTTTATTATAGTTCTCATAATTAAAAGCAACTTCTACCTTTGATATTTCCATTTTTACGGACAGCATACACGAAGTCGACGAACTAACTTGCCTTAACCAGTAAGAGCCATAAATATATAATGTTAAATAAATATTAATGTTATTGATTTTGCTTCGTTAGTAGTATTTAGGCTATACTGTGCATGATCAACTAATAAAATCTGTACATATTTGATACGGATCCTCGTTTAATCAAAGTCTGCGCACAAGGTTGATGAATATTTCTATAGCTATTTATTTTACCATAACAATATATTCCTCAAAATGTTTAAAAAAATAACTGCATAATGACATTTCGATCGCCCTGCACGCAGTTAATGCTGACGATAGAACTCAATACGTAATGATAAGAAAAAGGCAATTAACTATAAAATTTAGTAAACCAGCTATTACGATTAAAAACATGTTGTATCGTTCTAACAGGCCAAAAAGGTTCAGAAATTCCACGTCCCTCTGGGATAGGACCGACATTAAATTAGGTGAATTAGATGAGCTGAACAATTTCCGCAGACTCCATCTACAATATCGTACAGAATTACATCATAGCCCAATAACAAGTGCTAAGGCTCTTTTCTCCGGAAGGCTCGCACACAAAGCAACCATCTATCACGTTTATCGCTCTGCTACGTGGTTACACACAATTATGCGTATATAACTAAGATCAATGGAATCCGGTTAATAAAGGATTGCTTTGTCTCCCTGTTTTCTATAATAGTGACACATGGCCTATTTGCGATATCTGCTACTGGAGAAATACCGTGCGTAAAAAACTAAATGTGAACATTTTTGTTAAAACAATATCTTCAATGCGTGAGCCACGAGGACACCTTCCTTCTGTATCCCAATCCACCTTGGCCAGAATTGCAGTGCTTAACAATGCGCGTTTCCTAATAGCTGGCAACCCGAATAATAACAAGGTATTTTCTATCAGAGCGGATTGCAATGGTATAGTAAGTAATCTATATATAAGCACTGATTGTGCAAAGCTATCATAATAGTTACTCCAATTGCATCCCAAAAAGAATTTGGCTTTAAATTTGATGATGGCAAAACAGAAATTATGAAAACCACTAAAGATGAACTTAAATGATGGAAAAGAGCTGATCTGGGCTCATATAACGAACAGTTATGGATAAGGGAAGGCAGTTTGAGGAGGCTGGGCAGCTCGCCAATTTATGTACATTTTATGCATAAGGAGTGTTTGAAATCTCGTATTATGATTCCCCTCTTTTTATAAATATACTCCTATATAGTAGTCTTAGCTTATAGAGGCCAGTCGCTTAAGTGCATTCTGAGCTCTTCTATCAGAATCTCCGCAGGTAAAAATTTTTACGCAAGCAAGATAATAGGATTCTAGAGGAGACTCTTGGCAAGCGTCCCAGAATGGCGAAAGATGAGCAATATGACACAAAGCATAGTAGATAAACTCCGTCCGCGGTGGTGCAAATCCTTTGGGTTGTCCCGGTAATGATATCAGGGGCCTAATTCTAGTTTCAATAGGTTGCTTTAGCATCGTATTCCCATTTGCTCTGTATTCATGAGACATTAGGTTAACGGTATACAGAGGTTGTTGTGTGCGCGACAATCGCTCTGGCGCACATAGGTGGAAACTTCGTGGCGTAGATGAAACGAACTGTAGTTACGCATTGCTAGAGACATAATTTTATCATAATTTAGGCAGAAACTTATTGGTGTGTACAATATATTCTGTTAAACATTGAGCGGTAAGTATCAATTTTTAAATAATGGTGCAATTCGAGCGGTCTGGTTTAAACGTAGTTTCCATAAATACTATTAGAAGTTCCTTATTGGTGAATTCGTAGAGCATATGCAGATCCTGGCGGTAGATAAAATTGTTGGTTCAAATCCTGTAGTACCGAAGTAGTACTTCTTGTAGCTAGAAATTAGTTTTCGCGGATAGTTATTACCCTTTTTGCAGTTGCAGATTCGTTAATAAAATGAATATTAACGTGAACATTTAATGTTTGTTAACAACTTTCTTCACAGTTAATATGGAACAGCTGGCTGATTTTAGTAGATTGAAGATTACGTGGTTAAGTTTTGGTCTTGTCAACGTACTCCACTTAACTGGCTTGCTAGAATGGGTCAGACAAGTACCCATTTTATCTTACCTATGGAGTTTACCAGCCCTTACCTCGCTTGCTGCTTTGTTAAGGTAAGTCCGATGTACACGTATCATCTGATTATTTAGTTTCAATTTTCAATTGACGGAGAGCGGGCAATGCTTCATCAGCATCATAGCTTGCCTCAGAAGTACTAAACCTAACAAACGTGAAAAACCATAACGGATATTTTGAGCATATCTGTATTTATAAAAAATGTAGCGATGCATTTGTATAGACGATTTTTATTAACTGCTTCATAATGCTCAGAACACCCGTGCAAGGTCCTGTAACCGTCCAACTGTTCTTTGAACCTAGGCAAACTGGCCGTGAAGCGAAATATTGCAGAGTTACGTAGAATTTTTATATACTATTGACTAAGAATTAAACTAGTATCGCTAGGTTAAACGATTCATTCTGACCTAGTTTCTACGATAAATTTCTATTTCGTACAGCAGGTTACATATTATTTGAGCTTCTTGTAGGCTTGTCACTTATTCCAAGTCTCGTTGTCGGCCATGTATGGAAACGTGTTTTTGGATGCGTCAATAGCAGATGCTTTCGGCACCTCTTTTTTGGTAAATAGGTTATGATGCTTTCATTGGACAACCTAATTGAAGGTATGATAGCGAAGCCCTTGACATCTACTAAGCCCATTTAAGTTCAAGCTAATTGAGCTGCAAGGACTTGCATGCAAAATGTAGCTGCGAGCCTGTTCAGCGGAAATAGGCTAGCGATAGCCAATGGTTTTTATACTGTACAACATGGTGAGTGCTGGTGCTAAATAATTGATTCGAGCTAAGTGCAGTATAGTTAGTTAAAGCAGTTTTTCGTGACCTGAATGAATTTCTGTCTCTGAAAACTAAATAACTGAGTTGTTAAATAATTATGACGACTTTTGACCACAACGGCGTGAAATATACTGGTAAAGCTAAAGAAACTGATCTAACAAAAAAAGAAAGAAAAAGGCAGAATGAAAAAGTCGCGATTATTTTTACGTATTGAACTAGTGAGTCTTTTTTGAGCTATACTTCTTTTCTCAACGCCTTGGGGTGGTTCTTATTCATCCAGGTCAGATAACATTGGTCCTTTTATTAATCCTTTAAAGGCTATTAATCCTTAAAAATTAAAACTGATTGAGGAGGACCCATTGCTTTCCGTCATAGCTATATCAACGACGATATGATGTGACGCAATCAACTCTAAACACTTCTTCAGGGCATCGAAACACAAATCCCTGTTGTTATTGTATTCGGTATAATTTTTTCCATTGACATCTATACTCATCATATGTACAATAAAATAAAGATAAGAAATATAGCCAAGTTGTCCATTAACCTCATTTTAACTTTCAGGTGGTATTTGGAAGACCAGTTAAGTAAACGGCCAGTGTGTCCTGATAAAAAAGGCATTCTAGTAACTGGATGCGATTCTGGCTACGGTTACCTGCTTGCTAAGCGATTCGCAGGTGAAGGGCATGTATTCAGATCCTTACTTATACATCTCCATCTCCAAGCCACTGATCGCTCCTTAGCATACTCGTACTATAAGTATAGAGCGTTTCCATCAAAGATAAATATGTTTATTATACAAATAATTAGCAATAATTTACATAGAGAGATCTGTGATGATCGACGTGATTGGTTCGACTCGGCTGTCTCCTGATATTTTCCAAAGCGGCTCCTTACTACTTTTATGGTTTTCTGCTTCAAAGATAATCTTACTTAACAAACCTGTTTCTGCAAACAGCACAAAATCATATGATTTTTCTTAAAGTGTTATTTCGCTACTCTAAGAAGTTCCAGTATAGTGATCGGACTGAAATTTCGGTTATCTAAGTACAGGCACACACGGATATACTCGCATGCTTACACATACACATACGTGCACTCGCACATACACTTGTCGATTTGTGTGATCATGGGCAGCAAAATAACCCTTGAAAAAGAGTTGCACTGCCAGATTGCGTAACTCAGCTTATTATATGAAACATGCAAAGATTTTTATACAGATCTATAATAAATAGATTTGATCCATAATTTTGTGAAACACTTTAGTTAAAGATGATAAAATGAACTTGAGTTCAAGTTTTTGATCTAAGACATTTTTATAAGTATTTTTGCTGTTTCAAAACCATTTGCGGCAAGTGTTTGTTTCATTAGCCTCCCTTAGTAATACGAAAAGTTTGAAGTTTTGAAGATCGTTCTTTAAGTCTCAACTTTTTACTTATTGTGCGGTGTTTGTGTTAATGCATGGTTGTCATAGTTTTTACGTGTTTGCGGGATGTCTCTTCCCCAACGGAAAGGGCGCAGCGTCACTTCGTATGGACAAAAGGATTACGGTTTTGACGATAGACGTAACTAACGATCAAAGTGTTCAGAGAGCAATGAAGTTGGTCGAAACACGCCTTGACGATCTACGACTACGTAAGCATAGGATGCATTTATAAATAAAGATTCTATTTGAATCTGTGAAATTATTTCTTATCAAAGAGAGCCCGCCAGTCTAAATACTTCTATTTAGCCGGCTTCTTTGTTTATGGACAGCTGATATCTGTGGCGATCCCAGAATAGCAAAATTAATGTTACATACGCATAACTACGGGGGAATTTAAAGGTCAGTCGCATTTACTGTGGGCCTCGATTATTTTTCAGAAACGGCGAGCGATAATTACATTAGCTGAATACAAAGACGAAATTGAGCATGGTTTAGGAATAAAATATTACTTAGATTACCTTAGAGAACCCAAGATGCTGCGCTGGACATGGAAACAGTGCTTCTTGAACCCAACTTCAAACTATGGTCGTTTCCTTTTTAACAGAAACCCACATTTACGCTTTTTTGAGAAGAACAGGTAAGACGAAAATCTTTTCTGTATAAGTTCTTGCAAATTTCGTACCAATACGAATGTTTGCTCTTTAAAAAGAATTACAGAAAAATCAAAGACGGATGTTTAAGTTGACAGGCTATTATCCTTATTTATTCAGATTAGTATTTGTTTGGGTTTTAATAATTCTTATATTTATTTTATTTATTATTTACGCCGGTTATAACACCGCGCGCCATAATTGTTGTGGCTCGTATTAAAATAAAAGCTGCTTAAATATTTAGCCAAATGTAGCAAATCTTTTTTTCGTTATTATCTTTATTTTCAAAGTAGGCATTACTACGTAACGTTAGATGCATGGAGCAAGTATTAATAATATCATAATTCCTAGATGAATGTGGCCCAGGTCAGTAAATAAGGGACTGTTTGATGTCGAATACTAGTTTGCAGCAGCTTTGCTGTTGTTAGGGCATTAGGGCAAAGAAGATATCAGCTACTTTTCAATTTAAAATCTGATTCGAAGTAGACGAAGGTACATTTTTCAAACAAACGACTGTCTGATTGGGAGATTTTTTATGTGAGGCGTTTCGGCCTTCGATATTTATCATTATCATATTAGTTGGTCAGTGACTGACCTACGCTTAATCTTCATTGACCGTACAGTGAACATTCAGGTTCACAGCCATACTCTATGTTAAAATGAGATAAATGTCTATACATCGCAAGTATCAACATATCTAAAATCATATATTTTTATTCTGAAACACTCCTTTCGCCAAACAACTATTTCCTAATGTAAGATCATTGATCTGTTTCGCGCATCTAAACTTTTGCTCTTTCTTTTTCTCTTAATATGCTATAAAATAAACTCTATATATTTAATTAAAAAATATCTTAAGTCATTGATTGTTGTCAGCATTCTTAGTTAAATACTTGATAATGCAGCAACTACGAAATAGGCTGCGGCGAGCTTTTTAATAATTGTGATAGCCAAGATTTCCACATTGTCAGAAAGCGTTCAGTTTAAACAGTAGTGGCGGGGAGAGGTTACCTGGAAAGTGGAAGACGCTTTATCGAGACGTTTTACTGCCAACGAAAATGCAATTGATAAAAAAATGAAAGTAGTAACATAATCTTCGCCTCACTCACCAAAACAGGTCTCTTAGCTCCGTGTGTTACTTTTACCCCATCCAGTTCGATATTTTCTAAACTTTACGGCAAACAGGCGTGAAAGAGAGAAAGTAGGCCAATACAAAGATAGGATGAAGACGGAAAATGACACTTAGGGATTACGTTTATCTATATGTGCATATCGCTTCTTAGGTTTCATCTAAAATACATACCAATTGTCTTGTTTTTAGTATATAGGACCTTTTTTTTTTATAGGAATATACAATGGATATGGCGATATCGGCAAGGATAGATTTTTTTTCCTATATATTGCTAACCGTGATAACTTTTATTAAATTTTTGGTGCACTTTTAAAAAATCGTGTATTCACTAATTGATTTTATATAATTATCTATATTAGAACTTTGGGCAGTCTTGGCGAACGCCGGCATTGGTTATTTCTGTCCTCTCGAATGGACCAACCTAGAAGATATGCAGAAACTGTTCGATATCAACGTGTTCGGGACGCTTCGAACGATTAAGGCCGGCCTACCGCGGCTACGACAAAGCAAAGGTAAGCCTGCAGCCATGATCTAATATGCCGTAATTCCACAGATTTACCACGATTTTATTGATTGTTCTTACCATTATTACTGTTTCCTTCTATGGCTTGCATGATTAACACGTGATTCAAGTGTTGCATTTCCCAACGTAATCATCCTATTTAGGCCGCGTCGTGGTAACTGCAAGTCTGGGGGCCACAATTAGCTGGCCGGGCATTGTCCCGTACTGTATGTCGAAGGCAGCCATAAAGAACATGGTGGAAGGGTTACGACGCGAGCAAGCATCGTTTGGTGTGGAGTGCATCACTGTTGAGCCGGGCTTTTACAGGTACATAACTAGCAAGGAATATCGGCTAAAACAACATCTGTTTGAATCTTTCAGATGAATAAGACGTACCGTTGAAAAGCCTTTTTCAGGAGTTAGTGCTATGTTTATTATGCTAAATTTATTTTAAACATTCCCACATAGTCGACGAATGTTCTATACATGATGAAATGCTTAAATAATGATTCAAAGAGTACAAAAAATAACACCATGCTGTGCTACAATGAGTTCTGATTTCGGGATCAAGGTGTGGTCCCATTCATTGACCGAATATTTTTGTGCCTTTTGAGGTGACCATTTTTTATTGGCAGTAGTATTAAATTTATATAGCTGAATATGAAACAACGGTGATATAGCGAACTATCGAGCATGGTGGAAGATCGGCTAATTAAATCCGGTTTATATTTTTGACCCCTCCTTTGTTGCTATCCCCTGTTAGTCATACATGATGTCCAGCGCAGACGAAAACATCTTATAATGTAATAATAATAAACGAAAAAATTTTATAATGTCTCCGGCAGCATTTATACATACAAGGAAGCTTACAGGAAAATGGCTTATTTGAATAACGCTTTTAATGACACGGTCATTTGTGCACTAGCCTGACAATTATGAGACTGTGGGCAGTAATGACTATGCACGCCATTATGATTACGCCAATTGTAGTATTGGTCGTTAAATTAAAAAAGATTAGTCGTGCATGCTAAAATTACTTTTTCAAAGAACTAAATCAAAGCGCCAATATTACTGCTATTTTCACACATCACACAAATAATCCTAACGTCATGTACATCATTTTTTTCATGAACGGGGATTCAAGTATCAACAATGATCATAGAAGCCACCACCTCAAGCGTTTTAACGCTTTGCCTCCGCGGGTGAAGCGAGACTACGCGAGCCTACTCGAAGGCGTTGCGGCTCGCTTCGAATTCATTGAAGCTGTAGCATCTCGACATACCTATGAACCTCTTGCTGCGTTCCATCATGCAGTGACGTCGATCCGTCCTCGCTCTTCGTATATCGTTTTGAGCCCCAACATAAAACTACTCGTTACTTCCTCGACGCACTTCGCCACTGAACACATAGACGCTGTCCTTGGAATCGGTACCAATCCCAACTTCATTAAGTGGTTGACAGGTATAATGACAAGACGAGACGAGACGGTCCTGTTCAGTGCTTCAAATAGAAATTGTTAGTACCAGTTCTAACTGATAATAATTCCACCACAGTGAATAATTGACAGATATGCATGTCGATTTGGACAGGCTCTAATACCTAAATACCCATTGATTGCTATGTGAGATCATTTGTATTCTGTGCTGTCTATGGCGTACACAGTAGGCAAGAGGATGACTGATTAGAGTAAAATGGTCACCAGTTCAAAATTAGGGTTTTTGTGTTTTTAGAATTTTTCAGGTAGAATTTCACTAATGCTGCCTGAACAGTACAAATCATGTTTAGCAGTCTGTGCACTGGATCTGTATTGAACTGGATTTTTTTCTGCACAAATAAACTTCACAAAGGTGTCAATAACTCGTTCTCCGTTCAGAGAAAACTATAGCAACTTCTTTTTCAGTAATAATTTGTCAGACGTGCCATTGCTTGGTATTCAACCGCTGGTTCAGGAAACTGACCCGTGGCTTCCTGCTTGATGCCTAGAAACAACGAATCAGTTTTTCATACAGATGTGGCAGACTTCACGGAAAAAACTCCTCACTTATTTTTTCTGATAGTCTATGTAGCATCGTTTCCCGCCGGGCTCTCTACACATGACAGTGTTGGTTGCAAATTCATTTTTATTCTGTTTTATTTGAACTATTCAATAAAAGTTTTCTTGCAATAATAGTTGATTTCAGGGTTAGAATCACATTGACTAAATGTCAATAATGTCTTTAGGTAAATATTGCCACGTAGTTTGCCTGAGACCTTTCTGAATAAGCAAAGTTGCCGTAGTGAAATTGCCGCATATTAGATGTAATAGCGTTACAAATAGCTTTTGGATTTTATTAGGTATGTTTTTAAACTACTAAAGCGAAGTAAAATTGCTGATTCTAACTATTTTATCCAAAAATATTGGTAGTGCATGTAAGTGAAAAAGTTTCACTTAAAGTACACGAATAGTAAATATAGCGTCGATTTTTCAAACATGTTTTCCGGCCAATTAAACATATTGCGTTTAATTCTTTTTTAAGGTGTTTTAAGGATTCTCTTTGAATTTGTCTGAACTGCAGCGATTCTTGGAATTAAAGTTTCATCAAGTTTTCGTTGTGGCAATGCAGGTGAACTGACTTTCCTCACAAAACTCAAACATTTCCACAAACTCTCTTGCGCTTTATTAATTAGCAAATCGTTCGGATAAAATAACACACACCGAAAACATACACCTTTGTACTCTTATGTAAATACCGCTGCACAACGCTGACCTGAAGCTCTTTTAATTCGCCTTAAGCCTCACTAACGACATCGTGAATCATCGCGTTTGTAACTATTAGTTAGATCATGTTGCATTGAGTTCAAAAGACGCGAAAGCTCCGCGCCGATTTTCACACTAGCTATGGAGAGCTTTTTATAAGTGTTTTACGTCCTTCATCGTCGTTAGGCTTCCATCAGATGGTTGGCTCCTAGCACAGAACGAAGCGTGTCTATGCCCAGATGCGACCATAATGTATTCCTAAAATTAGCAGGTGACTACGCTATTTATTAAGGTATCGCGGGGACGCTATGGAGGGCTGTCACGACCCTGAAATCCAAATTAATTTCAATAGCTGGTGCAGAACATTGCTTAACATCAAATAGAGTCGTATTTTACATATCTGGAGTACTTTATTAAGCCACCCACACATACATATATCTATGTACCGTAATTTTAAAAAGTACACAACGTGGTATTCTGCGGTATTTGAATAATACTGTAAGGTTTTTCTTCAATTTTTTAAACCTAAAAATATTATGATTTAAGGATTATGATTGTGTTATTATCTATTTTACAATAGAGCGTAAGTCACTTTAAAATCCGTTTCTCCGTGAAAATTTTAAATACAAAATTATCTGTGTTTTCATTAGGATGCGTTACTGGTATAAGTAATTAGGCATAATATTACTAGAATAGTAAAAGCCATTAAAATTGCTCCAATAAATACACATCGAAAGTTATAACCTGACGATGCTCTGCGATGGTCCGGTCGACTTGGTAGGATATTACTGGTGGAACCAGGATCGGTCATTTTCTTTGTATCATAAGGGCTCGGCTGGATATTTTCTGTCACAATGAAGTTATTCGTCTGAAGACCAAGTGCTTTCGTGTGCTTATCGTTTAAGTTTATATAGGCGGGCGCACTGAACGGCTGATGCTGAGTGAACGCACCAGCGGATGTTCGTATGGCTTCAGTGTTCCAATTCGCAGGTACTAATGTAGTGTCTATGGGAGACGTTTTACGTCTTACGTATAGATCATTGGCCGTTGTGATATCTGGCAGAGTTGTAGGAACCTCAGGTATAGATGTACTCCGTGATTGCTGATAGAACAGGAAACTCGCTGCCGACGAAGGTAGGTGTTTTGTACTAGCAGTATCACGATCGATGGTACTCATAGAACTTTCTTCAAGATTAGTTACCATAGAAGATTGCGTAGGTGTTATTAGCAAAGTGGTGCGTTCCGTCGGCTTTGGGACTAGGTTGTTCGTTAGACTCGATGGCTGTATGTCAAGACAAGTTTTCCCACCAGCTTTTTCTAAAATAAGCGATTTAAATATATATTTACGGCATTGCCCAGGCAAATATTTCAATTTCTGCTGTATGTAAGGACATTCGACCTTCTTGTCAATTCGCATTTTCATTTTTAAAGAAACTTTACCAGTAGAGAATTGAACTTCTTGGAAATGCAAATAACTAACTCCCAAAAGATAACTGGTACACAATGCAAGTTCGGTTTTTACATAGAGGCTTAGACTGTTGTGGCCTGGCTTATATCCAATAAGTATCACGTATGAGTACGGCAAACTGGGAGAAGAATCGATATGAGTTTCTAGGCAGAACTTTATTGTCCTTCTCTCTCCATTGCGCAACTGAAAGTCGATACGATATACCGATTTACCAATCTTTTCATTCAAGCGATCATCGAAGAGTCCACTGACATAAGGTATTCCCTTATGAACACTGATAGATACCTGATTTTTCGCCTCGACAAAATAGTCGTTTGGAAAGTCTTCTGGCAGCATTAAAAAGTCAAGGGCGATGTGGAAGAAACGTCCTATATCAACGACCAATAATGGCATGACATACATTGCACGGAGCGCTCCATCTTGAAGTGGACAGCTATAGAATCCTGGATTATATGAGTGGAAGCATACGTGAGTCTGGTTTTTGGTCTGTATCCAAATGCCTAAACAGAAGAGACAATTTATTAAGCTTAGTCCTTGGTTTTGCCCTACGAGGCATTTATCATCTACAATTAAATGAAATCCAGTCACCAAATTTCCAACTGATAATCACTAATACATTTTGAGTTACACTTTGAGAGCTAAGAAGCAAAATAAATGTTTGGATGGGCTTGGTTATGCTTTGTAACAATAGTTAAGAAGAAATAATTGCTTATATTTACATCCGTACATGACTAAGTATAAGCACTCTCAGAACACAAACGCATCTTCTGTGGGACAGTCGTGCGATTAGATTGGCCAAAAGCCGCACCCTGTTGATGCGTTACGTTTAAGTTGTTAGCTACATAGAAAAGGGATCGACTCGGCAAACAAAATGTAGAGAAAGGTTAGTGTAGTTGGGTTCTGAGAAAGCTCATTATAAAGCGTTTTGGTATCAATAATTATTGAGATCGTGTGGCTATGTTTAGAAAATCTTCAAAATTTCCTAAATGCATATTACAGTACTCACTTTTTATACACGCAATACGACAATGTGAAGCGGAGGCCTGTTCCGTGCAATGTAGCGGTCTGCACAGAGATCCAGCATAATCCAGATGGAAGCCATCTTTAGGTGTGGTTTCATCTTGGCCGAAGAACATCACATTGACTGCGTTAGTATATGTTGGTGCCGAGACAAATCCTAAAGCTGAATCATTTTCTTGGCGGACATTGTGAACCACTAACGGGTATCTTGTTGCTTTAGTGGGTTGTATAAGGTAAAAAAAACCTGTAAGCACTATGAGAAGTAAAGCCATCTTTTCGTTGTCAGCTGTAAAACTGAAAGTTGAACACGGTTGAACATGATTAATGTTATTTACGAATGTTGTACAATGAAAAAGAGTCTTTCGGCATATTAACACCCCTATTACGTGCTAAAAACTGGGTGGTGTTATGTCCACAAGCTTGCTCTCATTAGGAACAAAGAGCTTCGTTTATTTTTATTCAACTCATCAGTAACAAACTGGCCGAGTAAGTGTCCGAAATGTACAGTAATTAGCGATACAGTAAAAAAAAAAAGCCCTTCAAAACCATGTGCTTTACAGAATCATCAATAGTCGTGACACGGGCGACATATAATATGCTCTAATTAATTCCAATAAGTCTCTGCAATATAAAACAACTCTTGCCCTATTTCAGCTACTATCTGCAAGGTATTCTGTGCTATGTACTTTTGCAAAATAATTTTTTTTAGACCGTTAAAACAGTTACCCGTCTCATGCCGCATGTGCCAAAATCCGATTAGAAAGATACTTTTTTAAGGGCCCTAACACTATCATTGCGACTTACTTGATTACGTGTCCGATAAATGAGAAATAATACAATAGTAATATCTCAAAGATCATTTAACTTTGTAGACGATCAATGATCTGAGGTTATAAAGCCGAAGAACGAAGTAACAAAAACCAATAAAACTGTTGCTCTGGATTGCTGTCACCTTTTTTACACACGTGAATCCGTCTATTCATTTATATATATCCTTTTTTTATTACAGTTCCATTGGAAATTGTTTAGTGTGATAGCCATATACGTATAATACAACTAAAGAACATTAAATTAGTTCTGATTGAGAAGTGATTTCACGGAAGTTGAGTCAGTTGTTATCTCGTTAGACTAATCATCTGTTTAACATCCCCATTGATACACTTAAAGCATAAATCCACTAATACAATACGCAATGCGTTTTTTGTGACGCTTCAACAGGAAATTCTCCAATGAGATAAATATTTAAAGGCACAATCATGTGTATATTGCATAAAACGTTGCGTGTTTAAAAGCGATACCTATGCGATTTTCCTTTTTAGAAGACAAGATGGAATTATTCCAATCAAAGCCAATGATTGCCAGCGAAGTTCTTTGATCTGCGCTGCTAACTACTTGCTAAGAGCCTCTCGTAAAAAAAAACTCTCAAACGTGATGTAAAGAGCCAACATCCAAGAGCTCAATGCTGACACGTCAGCATCTAGATTAGAGTACCTATAAATATTTACCGGCGCGTATTCCAGTAATTATCGTAAAATATGCCAGGAATATGCTTTGCGTACCTATACGCCTATTTAATGTATTACAACACATACAAATATTATTATTTTATTACAATTACTATGTACCTTGATTGACGACGTCTGCTCAACTAGTTCACACACCACTAATTTATTTAATGTAGTTATTTAAAAATTAAGAATCCACGATGGATGACACCGTGAGTTTTTAACTTAAAGTTGTTAAAGCCGTTTCGTTGTAGACGTCGCTAGCGTTACGCAGACGAAGTATCTATTTATGCTTAGGAGTGTAGGTTCAAACAACAGCACGAGAAAACAACGATAAACAATAACTTTACTTGAGTCTAATGGAAGCCATTGTTGTTGGCAAATTTCGAATTCCTTCTTCTGAACGTGAAATGCGTTCGACTTTTAGTCCGACTTCGTTCGACGAAAGCAACGTGCATTCAGCAGTATGGAGTTCGATAAGCAGTCGGATATTGCGTGAAAAACAACTGTTCTTTCGTCGCTCTTTTCTGGAATGTTTGATTTTGCTTGTGTCTTTCCTCGTCCAACCAAAATTATCTGGTTTCTCTGGACCGCGTTACTGGCTCACACGTAAATACTTTAGACGTTTCTGCGTGAATTGTATGATCGTTGAATTAACAAAAAGAAATATGGACTGTAATATGTTTGGTAAAGGTTCTATGTAAAATAAGTGTGCACTAAAGCATATGAGACGACATTTAGCTAATGTATTAAACCATAATAACAGGTATTCTTTCGTGTTTCTCTATCTTCTCTGGTTGCCAAGTCTGTCAAATTCCGGCTTTAAAGGAACACTAGAATTCCTTGAAATCTACTGAATTAAAGATATTCTCAGCTCGCGGCTCAGCCTCAGCCTCTACTTTCTCTATGACGTGTATCGTATCGGATCATATCTAAATTACAAATTATTTAGGCAAAGGTGATCCCGAAAGCGGCCTACGGCATAACTTGTTTCAGTCCTTAGCCAAGACCTGCGAAGAGCGGGGTTGTATTGCAAAGTGTCAGTTCCAAGATGTAGAGCACACCATGTTTCATACCTACTGACACACTGCCGTTGCGCCTAATTAGCACGGATTGGTTAAAGCCTAATTATCATTGCAGGTAAACAGTTAATTTAAAGGAATAAAAAGTTAAAAACAACGCATCAGCTTTGTGCTGACATTTAGAAATTGTGACTATTCATATGCTAGATTTAGAAATTGCTCTATTCATATGAAGATGCTCTTTCGTTATTAAAAAGTTCTTTAATTTATTGTTCATAAGAGGGCCTATTAAAAGCTAAGACAGTCCTTTACAATAATATGACTAAATTCACTAGAAATCAAAACACCTTTTTGATGGTTGATTTCGAAACGCATTATACGATACTCCATTCCTGAATTAAATTCCCTCCTTTTTTTGTATTATAACATCCTGGAATGACGCTTGCAGTCATCGTATTAATTGATCAATTAATTATTCAATTACCAAGAGATTTTTTAAGTTTTTTATTACAAAATTCCATTTATGTGTTTAACTACTACAGTTCAACAGAAGCTATCCACTTGCAAATATCTTCTGTTAAGGAAGTGTGGTTCGGAAATATTTTTCATCTTGTGTAGGATAAATATCACTTGGCATGTTGAAAGTTAAAATAAGTAATCAAGATATAAATTAGTCTTATTTTTACGATCTCCGCCAGGGAGAAGCTGATATAGACGACTATTTACATGTGACCCGGTCAATAGACGCATAACAATTTCAAAACAAAAGTTCTACATTTCACTGTGAGTTCATACCTAGCTTCTTTCCATATAATGATGACCGGGCTCCTCAAAAGTGATATCGGTCTCAATTGACTTACAAATAATATTGGTCAATTTTTAATATAGTCAATAAGAGAAAACCACTAAGACAATCGTTAGGATATAAATGATTTTTTGGTGCGTAGTAATGCACGACACATCGACAAGGACTGCTCACGCAGGATTTGTGTGGCCTTACTCATGGAAATTAATACCGCTGAACCGGATACTGGGTCGCTACTTCATTTCTATTTTTTGGCAAACATTATTGCGTTTTTTCGTATTATGGAATGATTTATTCAGTGGAGCACGCTGAAAATATTAGCCCCAAAGGCAGGCATTCGCGGTCGACTCATAGACCCTACGGAACGTATATGAAAGAATGGCAACACTCTTGATGCGACAGCCTGAAGGTGATCCTCGTGCTTTTTTACCATTTTGACTTCGTTAAGATGATGTTGTTTAATATTCGAAAAGAACTTGTTCACCGCTGTAATGGATAATTATGTACGCAATAATCATTTTGTTATAAAACGCAAACGACGATAAATGACAAATGAGTTAAAACCTTGAACTTTAGTGTATAGTTAAATCTCAATTAGACGACGAACATAAGTCTTTATTTTATAATGAATCTAAACAAAGTAATGAAATACTAGTCAGCATAAGATTTCGTAACCAAAATGACGATTTGTGTGAAAAATCGACTAAGTTTATACGTCTCAATAACCTATCGTACACATCTTTATTATAATAACAACAATAACGTAACAATAGCGTAACAAAAATATGATGTTAATTAAAGCGCTTACCAATTTGATGTTCACTTTTAGAGGGCGAAAGGCTGAAAAATTTGCGGATGCTCTCGTTGTTTCCGAGATTCTGATTGGATCGTGATAAGTTAGTCGGTGAAGGCGCGTAAGGTGATATAGCCACAAGGACAACTGATTCGGGAAAACGAATCGGTTCTGGATGCGACGGTATTCTATTTGCTGTCGCTGGTAGATTCCTTAGAATCCCCATAGGATGCGTCAGGCCCTGCTGACCTGCTGTGAAGTGATTCATCTTTACGGAACCAGATCCGTGAGGCTGAGGTTTAGGCGGAGCGAGAAGGTGGCGGCTGTTACGTTGAGGCAAGGTGACGACGCTCTCCGTAACCGGAGTAGAGAGTGGCGTTGGGGGTAGCGCTCTGTCAACGGGTACGACCTTTGTTTTCACCTCAAATATTTGTGCATCGTTTATTGATTCAAGAGATGAGACTCGAGCAATATTCTTGCCGATTGTCGAGACTGGTCCAGGTGTTACTAACTGTTGTGTTGGTTCCAGAGCTGTGAAACCAGTGTTAACTACTGTCGGACGGATGATCTCAACCCGGGTCGGAGGCTGTGCTATAGAATGAGACGGCTGGGCAGTTACTCGACCCGGAGGCTGAGCTGGTAGCCGGCTGATCTCTACGTCGATTGGGGGAAAAGATCGAGAAGGCTCCAAACCCAGCAGCTGAGGTGGTGAGGATTGCGACACTTCGGAAACGGTATGCACTACTGGCCGATGAAACAAGGCAGGCTGAGGCGGAATGATTTCGACACGAGGAATCAAATCAGAAATAATCTGGGCCGAGCTTGCAAAATGCGGAGATAGGTGCAATACTGTAGCAGACGGATTCGTTGGAGGAGGACTAAGCGTGACTGGCTTGATGACGGTGGTAACAGCATTATCAGCTGGCAAAGGTGGAAACGGCTCAAGTAGCGGAAGTGGAGGTTCATCTATTCGAGCAGGCGAAGCCATCGAGTGTGGACGTACGACTTCAATCCTTGATGTTGGAGACGGTTGTTCGAACTGGGCAATTCTAACAAGCGGCGTAGGCAGCGGTTGAATGTCGACGATGCGCACGGGTGCAAATTGAGCAGAACCTTCAGCTGGCGACTGCTGAATCTGCGCTACAGGCTTATAGGATTGGGGTGACATTTCTTCATGATGTGGCATCGGCTTTACGGGAGAAACAGGGGTGGGTTGACGTACCGGGGCAACTCCCATTGGTAGTGGAACTTGCTTTATTGTTTGGGCATTTTTACTAGGGTGTCGTGGGCCAAATTTCAGAGCTGCGTCTACCGCTTTCATAGCAGATGACACAATCTTGCTAGCTCCTTCAAGTGTAGTTTCCGTTCCTGGTTCATTCGTGGCAACACCAGCCCGAAAGCCCCCTTTATCTGCTACATAATCCACCGTACGATGCTGGCCGTCCGGAGCTGAAAAGGTTAATAAAATGGTACCTAAGGCTGTCGTTCAAAAAGGTTGTTTCAAATTAATGAGCTATTGTGAAAAGTGGACAGACTAAACTAGGAAGAATGGTTTAAGCATGTACTAGTAAAAATAGCCTAAATTACTCTGAAAAAAGCTCGTCTGGTCGGAACCGCACGCCGAGTGTCTAAACTCTAGTCAATACAAAACGCACGGAGCCTCTTACATTGGCCAATACAGGAACTTACGCGAAGTACCTTAATAACCCAATTCATCAATGTATCCGGATTAACTTGCTTCTGACATCTATTGTTACCGTCTATTTACCATGTATCACGTAACGCCCTTTAATAATACCATCAGGTTGCTTGTTCTGTACGTGCGAATGCGAAGGCGTTCCGTAAGAGAACTCGTATGCAATAGGCACAAGTTGAGGCGCTGACTGAGAAACGAGTATCTTATTTAAGACAACTGGTGAGTTATTTGAAGGTGGTGCAATAATAGGCGCGTCCGCTTTTTCCATTAGAGTTGTTGCGATCGGCGCTTCTACTGTTTGAATCACGGCGCTACTTGCAGACGCAGTAGTTGCCGGAGTTCTCTCAGATTGGAAGCTAGCTTTAGTTGTTACCTTTTCTGGAAATTGCACATAAAGTAGATCATAATAGAGAATTTAAAAAGCTGGAATTTAGACAGACGAGTGGATTTATCCCAGTATCCCAGTCATGTTCTTGTATATAGTTCTCGTTGGAATAGATGGAAGGACTAAATAAAGCTATGACGATTTTTACAGCTTTTGCAGATCCAAGAAAAAGATGATAACTACTATTTTACCCAGTTGAAATTGAAGATATAAAAATGTTGTTTTTAGAGAGCTAATTTACATGTTTAGATCAAAATTGCTTCCAAAAGTTTTAAGACATACAATGTCTCCTTAATGGAGGCAAAAGAACGATTATCCTGCTTTCAAGCCGAAGAATGTCATGTACCGGGAACGCTAATAGTGCTAGCACCGAAAATAATCTGATAGTGATCAATGACTTGACCGATTTTCGCCTTGTCAGAGTCACCTTCAACTTCATTCGCAAAATTGAGATCTACTGAAATTCGACGAGGCAAACTAATGCCTTGACACAATCCACAGCGAAGTATTATTGGTTTTTCCCAATCAAATTATAGTGATTTTAGCAGAGGGCTATCAAAATGTCTAACATCGAGCTCTGACATGAGAGGAATATGCACTCGCATGCAACATAAAGATGAACCACTCATGAAAGGCATTTGTCCTAAAACCGGCAGCACTGAATAATAAGGGCCGCATTTAAAAAATATCTTGAAGTGACATTAATTATTTAGTATCTACCCTGTTTGTACTGCAGAAGCCTGACTCAACGGTTTCAATCGGTCAACGAAAAAAAGGCACGTCTTGTTCTCTTAGGGGTGTCTGCCTGCCACACATACCCTGTCGACTTGATCCACCGGCTAAAACGATGTCCGCACCACTAACTCCAAGGACAAGCCACACAATAGTATGCAATTTCTTAGTGTGGAGCCGCATGGCAGCTGTACTTCACGTTGCGAGCAACTACGCCAACTATTTCAGGTAGAAGCTACCGGTCGTGCTCTACAATCAAGTGATCACAAGTTTTAGCCGAATGCCATCGCTTTATATAGCTTTTGCGTCAAATGCGCGCGTTTTAATGTGCTCGCAATAGATTAAACCGAAAATTTAACTACGGGTGAAGCCGCTTTAACAAGAGAGGAGTTACATAGTGGCGTAAGCTTACAGACAACTGCTGAAAGAACAGTAACAACGGCGGTTGTGGGGCCACCCGTTGTTGTTGTCATTATTGTTACTGCCATCGGTGGCAGTAACGTGGTAACGATAACCCCTGATCACGGCACATATCGGCACCTTCTTTTCGATGTCGACCCTGATAGGATTCCATTGATTTTTCCATTCAGTAGGCCAGGTTACGATTTCTTTTCGTTTTACTTAATGTGAGGTTTTCGCATCATCGGTTTCACCTATTCCGTTTTAATATACCATTGCATTGAATTATATTATTCTAATGATATTTTTACTCCTGTTCAATTGGGCTAATAATGGCTGTTAAGAACCGTATATACTATATTGTACAGTTTCTCTTTGGGACTTGAAGTGGGACATTCCAAACGTGCAGGTGTTAAACATAAGGTAACATCTGTCGATGAACTTGAATCCAGAAGCCTCCGTTTTACGTAGTTGAATCGACAAGCCGGTCGACTTTTCAACGGACCAAGCTAACAAAGTGGAGGAGAACTGGCTCGGGGAAAAATTCATGACGAAAATGAAATTTACAGACTTCAACAACCGTGCCTATTTGTGAAAGAGCACACGGATTTCAGTGGGAGTTCGATGTCTTCCGTCTGCTTCGAACGGGGAGCAGAATAATCGGTAGAGCTTTTATTACTTGAATATCAGCAACCCTCTTCTTTATCTAGGCAAACTACCGCTTTATCTTGAAATAGAGTCCAAATATTTATATAGAGGAGATGCTTCGTTTTTTTTTTTAAATACGCTTATTATTTTGTTACGTCCAAGACTTACTGCATCTAACCTATAACAACAGCCAGCAAATACCTTTTGATGAGAAGCAGAAAACTCAAAGCAGCGCTTGAGGAAGCCGCACGAAAAACTTTGAATTTATCAGTGAATGGATAAAGGGTCTATCCAGAACCATACCGCCGACTGTAGCCGTTTGATGATACATGTAATATATGTCTGATGATGTATTCAGTCGCTAAAACTTCTCACTAGTATTGTGTACTATCAGTAGCTCACTTTGCGAAAAGTATCTCTTTGACATACTGTTCAATAATTAATTACTTTCAAATTGATGTATCATCATAATCTAAGGCTAGTCAAAGGTGACATTCTAATATATACCCTAATTCATTATTCTAAACTGCCCTACTGCTTTTGCTAATTGTTGAGCTGACTCCAAGTTTTGGAAAAATAATTTGCTCCACAAGCTCCGACGCTATCTCGATCTTTGAATTAAATGGTTTTCATTTGGAGACCGGGCATTACGCATAGACACATTAACTAAACAAGTTTTCTGGTAACAACGCTATAATAAAATTTCCGCTTTTTTCACACATTTCAGTTCAAATAAATAATCCATGTACGATACATTAATTATTATAAACTACGCTAAATATGGGTACTGCGGGCCTGCTGCCTAATATCACCAGTGTCGACGTGCCTGTGAATCGTAAGCGGAAGTGATTGTTTGCGATAGTAATAATGATTTTTACCCTTTCAGATGCTCTTGATAGCACTGTGACCGCAGGGGCAAAGTGAGGGATGCAAAGCGCAATGATAATGCAGTTACATTCATACCTTAACGTTAAAAGTGAAAACTATTGGCCTTGTCTTTAGACGTAGTCTACGATGACACGATGATAAAGTTGTCGGTGTTCCTTAATCCGATCGTTGCTACATAATGAACATAAACGCTCCTGATGTATATCTATGTATAGAAAGAAAGAGGGAGATGCGTAAGCATGTATGTGTATATGAATCGTAATGCAAGCGCGATATACACTTCATCGAAGATGTGACTGGTAATAATCAATACCACATATGCTGGTAAATAGCATTGTGGATTATATGCTTCGACTATTATGGGTCGCTATCGGTGGAAATAAAGTCATGTCGACTGCGTACCCTTTCCCGTTTGCCACCAGTACGACAACGTAGAGTTTTCCCAAAATTTCAATGACTACTGTAATGTTAATATGGCGCCTCGCTATATATATTTACGTAGAACCACACGAGCTATACGTGGAATGCATGTATCTTTTGACTGGACTAAAGAAAAACGAGATCTATCGTATACCGCCATCCAGTATGTAACCTAATTAAGCTAATTGGAAAGCTCCGATGACTTCTGCGATTATTCCAGCTACATGGACTACTAACGAATTGTATGGTAGCATCATAACAAACATGATTCCAGCTACGCGTATTGTTTACATTAAGAATGCCAGTCAGTTGATGTTCGAACCCAAATATACAGCTAAACAAATACGGTTATAGAATATGCGTTGTTAAGTAACAATATCATAGCCTAGCGCTTTGCATTTTAATAAATACGATTAAGGTCGGAAAATATTGCTTGAATGCAGATCCTAATGAAGAATAAATGTAACAACCTTTGAAGAAACTTGCAGGATTGTTATTAGATTATACTAAAGGTCGAATTACTTTTCGTCCACGTACTTCAATGAACTATGAAATAAATTACTACATATAGAAATAGATTTGTGTTTTATAGACAGATTTGGATATCCCACAATCTCGGCCACTGTGTCCCGATTTGCAAAGCGAGCATTACATGTATGTATATATACATATTTTTGTCTATATAATTTCGAACGCAGCATAAACGGTTTGGATTATTTTTATTGTGTGGGCCTGGCTTAATGCGAGATATACTTGTTGAAAACTTACATTTAGGGAAACTTTTTTTTTGAGGTTAAGGGCAAATGTAATATGCAGACCGGACATCACTGGATTGTGTTTTGTCCGGTACTGTGGGACTCTCACCCACTAAACCCTGGACCCCTTTATCAGCTTGGGTCATGGTTAGGGATATGTTTGATACTACTTCGAAACCATGACTTGCAGGAACGGTCATAGGGAAACTTGCAACCACAAAACCCCTGGAATACAGACGAGGTGCCTTTGTGATGCGTGTGTCTGATAAATAGTTAGGAAACGTGCTGAGTTAGGCCAACACGCGCATCACGTACGGCGGTATAATTCATTACTATCCGTTTCTTCATACAGTGTCGCGAATGATGACAGACCTTCATCCAGATCCAAAAAAATGCCCTGCTTTGTGTTTAATATAAATTAGATAATCAGATAATTACACAATCAACATTAAAGTAACTATATATGAATAATATTCCAACTCTTCTCCAAACGTAAGCTATCACTTTGCGGTTCACGTTTCACTCCCCATAGGCTGACAAACGAAGGCTGATGAGCCCAGTTCATCATATCTAGGGATTAACGTTTAACGTTATACGAAACTTATTAGACTATAGGACAGAGTACCACACGCTTCTCACTTAAACTTCAATTCCTCTAACCTAAACATGCTTCGCTATTTTTTCGTTTGTGTAAATCAACAAATAAGAAAAATCTTTAAAATGTTGTCGTCCAGACAGTAGGTCATACCCCTGATTCACATTTATGAAGCGATACCTCGATGGGTGAAACAATGCGCGCGATACACTCCGGAGGATGTAAAAAACTAAAGCGACGATAAATACTTGAAAGCTTATTATTTTTCGTTGACTCAGTTAGCTTACAAAAACATTTATTTACACAATATGACTACTTGCGTATGTACGGTTATTATAAAGTAAAAGAACGCAGCATTTTTCTCAATATTGGCAGTGGACACGGAGCTTACTTTTATGTTAAGTTTGACACTAAATTGATTTTTACTATCTCGGTGCGAAGTGATTCTGTACCACAGGTGCGGCATTTCGAGGTAGAATCCAATATCACGCACGATCTACACAGCACATGCCCACAAGTTAATTTATATGTGGCCTCAATAGAATCGCAGTTTGCGCATGTTGGCCTGATCTTTTTGGAGGTACCGCTGTCTGCTTGTGTTGCTTCGGATCCTCGGTTGAGCACTCTACGGGCTGTGGCCAGTGCTTGGGCAAATGCCGTCTTCGAATCAGTAGACAACGATACATTGGGTCCTGTTTCACCGTAACTTGTATTCATCTTTATAACGGATTCTCTTTTTGCTGTGGCGGTTTGTACTGAAACCAATCTCGACACCTCAGGTCGAGTTACATTTCGGCCATCGGCTACCCTTACTCCTAAAGCGCTTCCGCTACTTGACAAAAAATGGTCAATGCGGCTTTTCAGTTCAGGCAGGACAGGTGGTCGAGATCTTAACGGAACACCTGTAAACGGATCACTCGCTGGACGTCCCCAACGGTTCTCGATAGCAACGTATTTGTCTAAAGTAGACTGGTCGACAATATTGCCGCTGGGTAATACGACTGGAATAGTCATAACTGCAACAGTGATAGAATCGAGAAACTCTTCAGGGATTGTTTCAGCGCTTGAAGACGAAGCTATCTCATGCAACTGACGTTTCCTGGAAGAATTTTGTATGATATCACTCTTTTCAGGCTTATTTCTTAAATAACCATGATTATGGGCGGTAGAAGTTAAAGGAAACTGTTGAAGATTAGAGGTACTCTTGGGCTTTCCGTCGAATCTGCTGAATATCGGGTGGGTTCGCTGAACATGGCGGGATGGAACTCCAAGTGCCTCACATCCGGGAAGACCTACAGCTACGCAATTTTTCATCGAAAGTATCATAATGCGAAGCTTAACTGTGTTCCTTAACATCTTCACTATCTGCGGCGATGACTGTCCCAAGGCAGTATCCACGTTAAGGTACGGAGGTAATATATGGCCACACTTTAGGAGAAGTTCTCCGTCAACGTTAGACACGGTTGTCAACTTCACCCACTGATTCTGCCCAGAACTTTGCGCCCATATTTGAAGACGCTGTACAGCAATTGAAGCCTTAGCAAGTTTGATCCTGACAAAGGCAACATCACTGGGACACGGTAGCGTGAAATCAATATTAACAGGTGGACGAATAAAGTGTTCCAGTAAAGCTCCTTTTTGTCGCAGCAGGACATTATCCGAAATTAGATTCGCGACTTCGAAACCATCAACTGTACATTTGTCACATGACACAGTGCAGCCTAGCGCCGAACGAAGGAGATTTGTCGGTTTCATTTCTTTTCTATGAAACAACAAAAAAACACCGTTAGCACAACAGGGTAATTAGCACGAGATGATAGATGCTTTCAGTATGTTCTAAATAATGTCTTTGATAATATTTTTCTGTCTTTTGTAAGCAACAGTTTTTCCAATAACGTACTGCAAGAAACTACGAACTAAAGACAATATTCAAAACAATGACCTGTCATTGCTTATTTCACATGTGACTAAGTTCAATTTACTTAACCTTTAGGGTGCCACATAGTAAGCTATTACAAGAATGCAAACCTTTACACTGCTAATTTTGACATGAACGATTCAAACGAAACTAAAAAAAAAAAATAGAATCTAGTTCCCTTGCGCTTAAATTCTCTTCCATTCAAATACGCGCGGTTACCATCGTGATTCCTCACCATGAGTCTCTTTTTCTACCTTAATCAGGAACGAAAAACCCACCGATTATTTCTGCTGCAAAAAGAATAAATGAATCCTTTTTCACGAGCGCTATCCAGACGAGCTGTGTGTTGTCTCTATAGGAGTTTACCCAGATTTGGCCCGGATTCCATTATTACATCCTTGTAGGTTTCTGCAAATTTCAATCGTATAAAACTGTATCCAAAGGATAAGAGTTATATTATTCGAGGTGTACTATAATAATTATTATTATAGTTGCCTGAGGAATCGAGGCGCAAAATTGTGGCAAACTTAAAATCTTAACGTAACGGTTGCAGAAGCCTTTCCGCAAACCTTTAGACTCTTCTGAGTGCAGAAAAGTTTTGCAATGTCATCTGTATCACTGAATATAACGCGAAAATCCTCAAACAACTCTTGATCGATCGGAGTTAGACTAAGCAATTTTGTATCTATGGGCTTTAGCAGCTTGAAATACTTGCCCCGATGCTTTAACTCCCCAAAGTGTCTCGGCTTCCTGAAGACTAACAAACTCCTCCGCACGTCTTGTAAAAAGCTGTGCTGCTTCCACGAATCCCGAAAAATAAACACTTGAACTCAAGTTGGACATTCCGGCAAATCACTTTGCATATCCGCTAATCGCTTATAAAAATAAAGAAATCTAGCGCAACACGGCTGGCGAACTTCAAGTGCAAAGTACAACTTTCTAAACTCTACCTAATGCTTTCCTCGACAACTGCAAAAGTCACACAGCACCAGGAGGTAGTTAGTGATCAATTCTTTAAGCTTGATGTTTTTTCTCAGCTGTACAGGGCTTCCGCAAATTTGAACCTCCGTTGCTTTTGGCCCGTTGTTTAGAGCAAGACATGTATCTGTTTTTCTTATGTATGTTGTGATGCTTCGCATTCGGTATGGAGGATAAACAGTGATATGACAGACGTCTCTGGAAAATAAGTCGTTTCTGAAGAGAAATTCTACGCTGGTTACAACACTTAATCTGAAAGTGCTGTGAGTGATATCTTCAGGATTATAGTATTTTTTTTTCATCAATCTTTGGCAATGCAAAAGTCAAATGGTGTTACGTTTTTGCTCACCTGACGCTTTGCACGTTTCAATCAGGGAATGAAGACGCGACAAAGCCGGAGCCGTTGAGAACGTTTCAATTTTTTGTTGCCGAACTTATCAAACGATCTGCAACTGTTAATGATAGCCTCTATTACTCAGTAATTTAACACTAGATAAAACTAACTCTAATAGTTGTCTTTTTCACCACACAACGAGAATGCTAAGTTCGTTTCAATAGCTGCGTTGTCCAGAATCTAATGTTAGAGCGATCTGAAACATTACATCGGCTCATTTTTTACTATCATGCTTCATATATAATGCTTCGCGTAAATTTAACCATTCATGCCTATGCACGAATTTTGTTTAGCAATAAACGGGTAAACAGCATAGGCCGGGAGTTTACGAACGTGTTGTTCTACCTTGCTTTGGCCGGCATTTGTTCACGGAATCAGCTAGAACTTAATACTTGTGAGTACGGTGGTAGTAGGCGAGATTACCGGAACTAAGTGCTGTTTCAAATTTGTGTAATGATGAAATGTTAAAAAAAACATTGCGTATTTTGCTCACTGCTTAATATGGGCAGTCATATTCGGTTGGTCAACATTCTATAGAATGTGTGTCGTCGATCTATCAGTATTATGTCTGATTGTAGTCATATGTTTGTATTCAATTGAGTTATCATCACTTATACAAACCGATCTAGCAGCAGTCGATTTGCACTACTTTAATTAGCGTCAAACACGTCTCCAATAAATCGTAGTGAACCGAAAAGGCATCAAGTCTTTTTGTTTTTTGCCCACAGCATATAAACTATGGTCACGCGATTACTTTGTGTGATTTTGTGAAGAATCATAGACTAAGCCAGCTTTGCATATGTCATGTGTTCATTATTTTAAGCGGTTCGGACCTGTTTCAACAAATGTAGTTATGAATAACACAGGAAAGGAAGAAGCTTAACAATTATTCAAGATACGTCAGCGCCAAATATTGTCTAACTTCCAATTATACTGCCGACAATGACAGATATAACACGACTTTCCGCCTTACGTCCCATATTGCAATGTTCTCGATGTAATGGAGAAGTATGGAGCAAGCATATGTACGTTCGTTCTGAATCAAGTCGTTATTATTTATTAACTATGCGTGCTGTAACCAGTGTTTAGGACGAAGAATGAAAAAGCTTATTTGCTATGGCAAACATATGGCTGACTTGAAGGAATTATGGGATTGTTCACATGTCTATCGGCTATTTAATCTATTCAATTTTTGTAAGCTGTTATTATATTATAATTGTAGTGACTGAATTTGCTGGGGTTCACAAAGTAACCTTAACTGCTGCAAATGCAGAATCTACGAGTTAGTGTAAACCATTCGGCTATTGCGTAGCTCAGACAGGAACTGATTGTTTTGCATCGATTGCGGGATGGGAGAAAGTTCGTAAATTGAAGGGAGAAGTTTATTATTTCTATCATTATTCGTGTGTGTTCTTACTTGCCTTAAATATATTATGGTTATTGTCTTTCTTAACGAAGTCAAATATTTTCAGAACTGGTTTAAGGCTAGAATTACGCGAATTTTTTGTTAGTATTTAATATACGTTTCCTTTTTCTCTATCGCTTGCGGCCAGGTGTATAAAGTCTGAGTTGCAAGGGCCTGCCTCTTTAGACACCGCGCCGACCAGCATGGCAGCAGGTAGTGTGCATTCGATGACTGAGATGTTAGAGCAGTTGAAGGAGGCACAGCAGGTCGCGTTTGATAGCGCAAAACAGGGCACGATTTACGAAAACAACGGACGAGTCGTTAGTATTAAAGGTTTATTGAAGCCCAACTTATTCTTTAATAATAATAGCTAATAGCTGAACAAACTACAATCATGCTTAGCTAAACTTATTAAATTGCAAAAACGTAAGGCTTAACCTAGAAGAAAAAGGAGTTAGCATGCAGGCAGTATCACAGAATTCAAATAATTTAGACCAACGCAATTGTCCCATTTGTTGCAATAAGACCAACTGTTTTCCTCATAAAGAAATAACCGAATTGAGTTAAAGGGACAGTAGTTTCAATTAGCAAATATGAAAACTGCTCTTCAATTACAGAAATTCTCATAGGTATAATAACTTTTATGTAAAATTATAGCTAATATATTTGTCATGTTTTTGGCGCTTCTTGTTCTTCTTCTTTTTTGCTACCATATGTGCTGACCTCGACGATAACGGGCTTCTTCAGGGCGAGGCATTGCACATGTATTACAATGCAATGCGGCATCTAAATATAGGCCTATCGGTCTGGCCGTGCCGAAGTTCAGTTCACGGCGCTAAGTGGGATGAGGCAGTGAAAATTCGAAACGAGCTCGCCCATATCAAAGAAGATGTAAACTGATGTAGCTTTAAGGAGTGCGATTTTTAGAGAATGCTAAATTTACATGTGAGGGTGAACCTGGCAGTTTGAAGGTGTCACCAAATTTTGTTTAAGGACATTTTAGATATAGAAGTGTTTGTTGTTTTTTGTGATTTCTCGCGCACTTATGCAATTAGGTTGACAAAGGACTTCACTATTTACTTTAGGCTTCTACACCGTTCTCTTTCAATTTTTTTTTTGCCATACAGGTAGTATGTACCCTTATTATCACTATATCCTTCGCTTGGGACTCTCATTCACTAGGTTCGATCTCGAATAAACTTCCTCGTGGGCGATAGGAGCTCTGAAAAGGCATCTCAGTTTAAATACGAGGATCCTACCTCTCGCACACGACTTGTGTCCAACACGCCACCTCCCTACGGTGAGGAAGCTACTGTACACAACAACCGAAGTTCTATGCTCCGAAATAATGGCGACGCTTGTAGCAAGGTAAGAAAACTTTCATTCGGTTTTACTAGCTAAACGCACTCTCGATTCGAAAGCTATGGTGACTACAAAAGCATCTTTACAATTATACAGCATTTAATTTCACGTCATCCTAATCTACGCTTGTTTATGTGTTTGTATAAGCAACACGTATTTACAGCGAAATTTTACTGTTTGGGGCATTAGGCAATAAAAATGCTCAACCTTTTGGAGTTGAAGGTCATCTTATGAATATGTGCACGTATGACACAACGCATTGGAACGCTCACGCTATCCGCAAAAAAACACTTCGCGAGGTGACATTTCTTAGTAAACTTCAATATACCCGCTAGGGACATGCGCAGGAAAGATGTTATGTGATTAACATTGAATGGAACTAGTTTAGATAACACGTGATTTCTTCACGACGATGCAATGTGTCAATCTTAATGTAGGTCCTCAAGCGGCAGTTTGCTGACGTATCGGATGTTTCATTCTTCAAACAATACCTATTTTATGGTCATTCCGTTCTTATGATCTAACAACACTGGATTTCTATTTCTTGAGTATTTAAAAAAAACGTCTTTGGTAACATTATTCTCGGAATTACAGCATGCTTATAAAAGCAGTTATGTCTAAAAAGCTCTCGAGAAAGGCGTGTTCCGCTGCGGGAAGGGTACCAGCCCAACGTTATATTTTGAACGTAATATCTAGCAGTTTTTTTGTGCATATTTGATATAGTAATTTACCTTAAACCACTGCGTAATTTTATTATAGCATATGTAAAATTCTACACATATAGGTAGGACGACGAAGTAACACAAATAATGATATACGTTGAAAATGGTGTCCGACTAATCAAACAAGCTAATACCCACTACTCTAAAACGAGGAGGCACGGCTCTAGAAAGTGATGTTCATATATGCTTTTTATGTGTGGTTGATATATACCCCGTTGATACCTACACGCTATACGCAGTATACCTTGTGATTTACCGTACTAAAGCGACTCTTTTGTTTTCTCCAGGAAGTACTTCAGGATGCGCCAAGCCCTACCCCGTCGGCTCCTCCGGACAGCATGATGATACAGACGTCAGCGAGACAGCTAGTCCACATCCCTGGTGGAGTTCAAGTGTTTCACACTACTAGCTCGGGGGAGGTGTCCGTGCAAAGTGACCCCACTGAACTTTTCGTATTCACAAGGAATCCCGCTTATTGTCCCATATCGGCACAAACTGTCAGTTGGCTACAAGTTGGAGAATTTACATATTCACTTGTGCCTGGCAAATCACCAGTGCTTAAAACCGGATTTGGCGCGTGAGTTAATGTTAACAGTAATCTTACATAAGTTATATTAATACAATTGTTTATCTGTGAGTTTAAGTTTCAGTGATGTGCGTAAGAGATTAGTGCAGTTTATTTATTCTTAAATTAGTGCTTCTTCATTAATTAGAAACAGTAAAGTTCACAAGCGTCAGGTGTTGAACACAAGCTTGCTATATTCAATTGGCATTAAGGTGATTTTTGTTAATAAAGGCTTTATGTTTGTCCGCCTTCTCAGTTACATGTTTCCAGACGTATCTCTTTATGGTGGCCAGTCCTCAAGTGTAGCCTTGGTGTTTTCTGCAAACGTTACTGATGAATTACGAGCTCTGTTTGATAAAACATTAAACGACTACGCTTGTTTTCAAGAAGATCCTAAAATTCAAGTGCCGGAGGAGCCCTCATTCGGTCAGAAGGTGTCGGATGGAATTATAGCAAGTAAGCGGAAACTGGCGTATTAACGTATGATTTGACTTGTCTGCGTAAAATTTTTTTTTGTGACTTACCACTACTGCATTTGGTATTTTGAATGTTGATGTCCAGAATATTTAACTCTTTCGATGGCTTTTACAATGAATTACATATTAGGCCGTTACTTAAATCAATTTTCGGTGGACTAGCAAGCCCTATTTCGCATGATGCACAACTTCCATATTGCAATTTGTTGTTCTGTAAACATCGCCTACCGAAACGACTGATTTTTAAAACAATATCTTTATTGTTCTATCAATCTATTGACTATTTTATAATAAATACTTAAAGTTTGTCCTGTAACACTAATTAGCAGTGTAACACTGCTTTTATGGTAACAGAACAAAGAAGTATATTAAGGGCTATATAATCATTATTGGGACTTCCTGTTTGGGGTTGGCGGTCTCTGTTTCATCGCAGCATCGGAACTGATTAACCGAGGGCTCATCCGAGGAGCGCAGGCTACTTCGGTTGCGCTTAGTTATGGCGCGGACAAACTACGCCAACATATGACACCTGAGCAACGTGCACTGGCTGTCGACCCAAGGGTCCAGACCGGGCTGAAAGTTGCCCGAGCAACATCTCACGTTACCTGCAAAGTTACCGGGTGTGTTTAAGTTGTCGCTCCATACAATATCGCGAATGGTATCTATGTTTATACGAACTGTATGATAACAATATGATGACACACCGATCATAAGTGGTGTATTGTCTTTATAGAAAAAAGCCTAATAGATAAACTAATATTCATTAGAACGACATTGAAATTATTGATTAAGATATGCTATCTGCGGGGTGCGAAAAACTCTAGCGGGCTGTTTTTCAAAACGTGCATACTTTCACTTTCCACTCTTGGTACTCCATGAAAACTAGTTCTTTTTGGGACAACACAACAAAATTGTCATGGCAAACGTCGCTGCGTTAGTTATGAAGCTAAAGCGAAAATCAGCTAATCTTTTCGCACTGTACGAATGCCCACCCCGAAGTAACAAGTTTCTTTCTTGCCAGAAATTGCCAGGAAAAAAAGAAAGAAATCTTCTTCTTTTCGTGCGGTTTCTGAAAAATTCGAAGAAGACTTCCACGAAGCATATGGGAGAATTCTTAGTAGGTGTTAGATTTAAAGGCCCCGAAAATTCATCAAACGAACTCAAAAAGCCGTTTTTGATATATTTACATTTTTGCTACAAAAATGGGCAGCTGCTGTAGAGACGAGAATATTAATTGGTAAATGTATTGTCTAGAAAAGCTACAACAGTCAATGGTTTTTAAACTTTTTGTGCCTTTCGCACCTGTTGAGCTTTTCAGCCGTTTTAAATATTTGCATTGTGAGACATTCGGCTTGTTATCGGTCCACAATTTAATTCCGTTTGAATCTTTTTGTATATACCTTTTAGGACATTGTGCCTACCAATATCGCTTGGCGCACCGTTATTATTGAAAGGTTGTTTGCGGTTTCAAAAGGAATTATTTTGAAAACTATTACTAGCAATATAGATTCCGAATTGAAACTGTACTAACGATAGATATAGGTTATACCAAGTAAACATGATCGTTAAGGGCACTTCTAGCACATATAAACAGTTTCATTGAAATACCCATTTTTGTTTAGATACAATCTTATTTAGTACGATTTAAACGCGTCACCCTGTACATGTTGGTTAGTAATCCGTAATATTTTATGTATTCCACAACAAGGAGATAACAGGTAAAGCAATACGTTTGAATTAGAGTGAGTATAACACGTTGGTACTTTGTATTCTTGTGTTTGACATTGTGATTAACAACAAACATTGCAGATTCGTAGTTTCTGCAGTTGGCGACATGACGTGTGCCTTGGGTAAGCGCATTGCGAGGACTCTTGCTCCCACCGAAGTCGTAGACGGGGTGGCTTCGAACGGGACGTTGAACGACGCTCTTCTAATCGCTGGCGGCGGCGTAGCTGGGTTCGGCACTGTCTTTATGGGCCTCGAAAACGCTGCTAGGGTGCTCGCTAAGAGTATTACAGAAAATACTGTCACTCTCGTGCATCACAAGTAAGTAAATAGATCATGATTTAGTAGGCAATACACCGCCTTGACGATATGTTTTTCTCAAACTAATAGGAACAAATATAGAATAAGAAATACCTAAAGTTAGTTTAAAAAATAATTTCTACATATGTGTACGCCTCTTTATTTGTTCTATTCATATGAAATATTTTAAAATATGCCTCATTGTTCTAATCCACAGATATGGCGAAGACGCTGGCGAGGTTATTGGCGATGCCATGTATAGCATAGGAAACTTCGCCTTAACGGTTAATAATGTGGCCAACTTGGGTGTGCGCGGTATAGCCAAGCGAACCGCAAAAGAAGCAGGGAAGGCTATGCTGCAGGAATACGCTCGAACTGGACAGTCGCAACAGCCGGAAGACTTTTACACGGTAGAGTCTCCAGATAGTTATGCTTCCGAACAAAGTGCATCTAAATCAGAACATTTAACAGGCAGCGAGACAAGCAAACGAAGCTAAGCTTTTTCCGAGTTCGTTGCCAATATGTTATGGATATATGGATGGAAAAAAGCTTTATGCCCTTTGCATTGTATGCAAACATATATCCGAAAAAAAGCTTTCATAAGTTGTGGGAATCAGCATTTAAACACGAGAATTGCATTAATCGCAGTCTACAAGTTGTTGACTCAGGTTTGCTATTCTACTGTCATACACGTAACAATTAGACGAGGTCCGTCATTTGAGGGCCAGGTTTTGCATATCTGCTAGTTGGTGTAGTCTCTATTTGTACAAGATACCGGTCTCTTCAGAAGATCTGTTAAAGCGCGAAAGCGTTATGATGAAACCTGATGGCCGAACGTTCGTTTTGTCTTTGTCCTCTATATAAGACATGTTACAGCGTATGGACAGTCCTATCTAGGTCATTCTACTGTCGACAAACTGGTCCGTTCGGGACAACATTGTAGCTACTATGTAGTACAAAAGTGTGAATGCCTTAATAGTAATAGTAATGCAAAATAGTAATAGTTACTGACAACGTGCGGTTACCGTGGTACAACTATCACTGTCACGGCGAATGTTATTAGATGATATTCAGAATGTAATTCTCGGAAAATCGTACGAAAGTTTGAAGTACAGAAGGGAGTAGACGTCGCTTCCACTGCTAAATATGTTCTCTACATACTTATAGAGCGTTCTTTGAGTTCTCGAAGGCGCAATGTATTTAGGAAGTTACGGGATAGGAATAAATATTAAATCGTTATGTATTATGTCTGAGTGTATTAAATTTATTGTTTTAGTAAGCATTGAAGGATAACTTACCAGCAGAACAAATACACATAGTGGTAATCCAAAAGGTGGAAAAGTAATCTTTGTCACGGGTGTATGATAAGATCTGTTTCTGAGCGTGCCAAATTGAATGAATAATCTTAACAAAAGTAGAAACCACTGAGCATTGATGTGTGCCGTACCCCCAGACGGTGGGTATCGAGGTGTTGAGGTGACTTATAGTGAGGTGGTTTATAAGTAGTGTCCTTCGGCTAACCAGTTTTCTAGGTTATGTACGTTCTCCTAGTGGAGTGGAACTTTTTAAACTTCCTATTTTATACAATATATATACAATATTATATAAGATTCTGATTAAGATTTATTAAAATGGTAATGATCTCTAGAAAGTTTTCATTCTAGCTGCATACGTAGCATGACACTTAACATTATTCGAAAATTCTGCACGTTTATTTTGTTCATGGTCTATTAAAAGTTATCTAAACTTATGAAGACTGAGAGTCTAAGACCACTAGAGAAGCCGGTAGACCACTAGACGGGAGCCACTAGAGAAGCCTAAGGCTTCGGTCTTTCGCTCATTTCACTAATAAATTCAACAAATTTAATGCCACCTTGATGTGTTACAGTCATGTGATCGGTGGCCACTGCGATTTTTTTTTTAGAGAAGTTTCGTCTACTCTGAATAGCCATGCACATGCGTGCCTGTACAGTAAAGTTTGATCTACTAAATACACCCTAATATATCGTACAGAAGACTCCACGGCCATATCTACGAAAATAGCAGATCAGAATTGGATTGCTTAGATCTGCATAATGAGCTGAAAAAAACTGGACTCGGGGTGTTGTGAGGCAGAGGCTTATATAATTGTCATGCATCCTTTTGCGTTGTGGCATGTGGCTGAGAAAACGTTTTTGTCTTTTTTATTAGAAATTGACTGTGCAGCATGTTCATGTTTAATCATTGTAAAGAAAACGTTTAGAGCGCCACAGTATTATTTAATGTACATTTAGAATACAGTATTAACACGCATGGAATAATACTCTGATGCTGCTTGGTGTATGCGACATGATTAATTTCATGCTATAAAAGAAAAAGCAGCTAAAACTTTGCATTATAGTATGATCCTCCTAACAACAGGGAACGTAGAGATATAATAACTTTTGAATTGAAACATAAAATTATCTCTTTTGTCTACGTTAGTTTACTTTATCAGCAGTACATAATCGTGTAGGAAGTAAAAACACTTTTAATTGTTATCTGTATGAGAATGCCTTCGATAATTATTTAATAATTGTTTGCTGGCTAAAAAGCACGGCAAATAGGTTTCCAAAGGTAAATATGATGCTTTGTTACAAAAGCATATTAATTTAATTTTAGCCAATCCGTAAATGATTTATATGCTAATAAAAGCAAATAAAGGATCGTTTTGATATATCTCGATGACGATCTCTTTATTACCTCGTTGAGTGAAACTATCTATTTCAATTTATATATTTTACTATATTACAGTAACTGATTAACCACATATTCTAATCTATATGCATGTGATGCTGACCGTTACCGTAATATATACCATATTTCAGCGTCCTGATTTCTATCAATATTAATACCATCGGTAACCCGATTATTAAAGTCCCGTATAATTCAGCTTATAAGACAGCAACATTTATAATCTATACTGGAGAGATTTCAAACCGTTAACAGATGCCTATTTACAATGTCGTTTTCTCTAATTTGGCTTTAATTGACCACAATCCTCGGCCCATTTCGGGGCTCCTCAATAACCAAAGTCCTACACAACTGGTCGTAGACCGCGCGGTTGTGTTGAAAGAAAAAAGCGGTCACACAAACTGGAAACAAAAAAGTCACCCCGCAATTTTTCATAGTCGCCCGTAGTAAAGCCCAGAGGAGGCCAACCCCACACGACACTCGGACCCGTAACACACCCGGAACGACTGTTTCGCACTGCCAGCAGTTGATCACACGAATGTTCATTATATACTTGCCTGTAAGGATACGTGTTAATGGAAGTCCAATATTTGATCTAGTAAAACGGAATAATATCTAGTGAAATTACCGTTGTGGCACGTGGTAAATGAAACCTATATTTTGTTTGTACTTTTATAGTGCATTATCAACCACTATACTTTATCTAAATAAAAATTTATCTAAAACATGCCTTCTCTGTGCACGAACCCGGTGGTAATAGTGTTTTCACCATGTGCCCCTATATAAGTCAGTGTAAGAATTATTTTCCAAAATAAGATTTCCGCTTTACATCTGCGAGCTCAAAACAAGTGACAACTTAACACGTCTTATAATTAGGCAATAACAAACAGATCAAAATATAGCATGTTCTTCTAAGCTAACAAAACCAGTTTTAGTTTATACTAACCGACTTATACGATGGAAAGTATAGAAGTAAATCAAACGATTGAAAAAATTTCTGTATGGTCTGACTTATAATTACCGATGGTTTGTCCTCGACCGATCATTCCCCAGACAGCCAGTGTCTCATATAGGATGACCACTAATCGATGTACGCTCTCGAGAAATAAAATTGGCCATTTGTCGAGAATACTCTCCAGCGCGACTGAGTACGTTAGCAGGTCCTGTTGCAAGATGCGTAAGTCATAGCTGCAAAAGCGGCCACATGGACAAAGATACGAACCAAATAGCGGTGCATAAAACAGTACGAAAGCGATACCAGCTGGTTGCGCAACTGGGAAAACCGAAGCACTATTGAATTGAGTTTAGTACGGCGCTGTATAGACTTTGAAGCTCAGACACTAGCCCGTGCTAGGATCATTTTTACTTTACTACCTTCACAGTAGATATTTAACCATTTGAACATGTACCTAGTTCAGGGATATTCATGTGATTTTATGGCACATAACGTACTTAGTTTGGGAGCCCAAGTAAACTGCTGAAGTCATTCAGGATTACACACCAAGTTTACAGGGACAACTGAAACGACTCTATCGATCAATTATCTACGTTTCAGCTAAGTCTGACTGCCAACTATCACATTGTAGTATCAGTGCTACAATCGTGCCTCAGTGCATATACAATATATATATAGCAATCGGAGAGCACCGCATAAAATATTTAAAGATACAAGACGAAAATTGACTCTTATGTCACTCACGTGTTATTTTAGGAGCTTACAACAACTAGAATTTATCTTTATTAGACCACGTGCTTCAGAAAACCTATTTTATTCACGAATATTAGAGGCAATAGGTTTTTTTCAATTCATTTCAGAAAGCAATTCGTGCAACAATAGGAAGGATGGAAACCAAAAATAGTTTTACAGTTTTCTATGACCTCTAAGGGGTTCATGCATTCACATACATATTACTAAATTGCTATATTCTTTTTATAAATGCTACACGGTCTTTTTCATTATACGGAACCGAATTAAGTGGAAGATTAAGTCAATTTCTTTCCGAATTCAGCTAAAACGTGAAAGCTTCAGTACACCCTCAAGTACTACTACCTACCATGAAGTCGTAGCTTACGTGAGTTGTTCGATTTCTTCATCTATGATAAGTGTGATATCTGTATTAAAAAATAGAGATTAGATAATAACTAAAGAAGCAATATAAAGTGGAAGTCAACCAAACATAAAGAGAAGCAAGCCAAACGAAAATTATAGCGCAATGACAGTGGCAAATACTCACGAAAAGGAGCTGAAATTAAAGCTGAGAAAAAAAAATCAGACGACACATGAAAATAAACACGTTACATAATCTGGATGAATTCTCAAAAATGAAATTTATCCCTATAATATACACTAAAAAACAAGCTAGACTTACATTTTACTGCATTTTCTGCAAACAAATGAAATAACTTCTACTTTTGGTAGGGCGTGAAATGACAGACAAGGAATACCTTACTTAGGGCCTATCATTATGTGGTGTCTCTTATTTTCAGCAAAAATTAGTGTCGAATTATTATTTATTATTATTAACTTCTGGCAATTCATGGTTCTAGTTTCATGGTTTTGTTGACTAGAAACCTACAGGATACCTTCTTAAAAACCTTCTAGCTTAACTTAATTAACATTATGAACTTTATTCTTTGAGCTTGACTTCTTAAACGGACCGATGACATCATTTTCAGCAATCGGGGTGGTGAATACCTGGGCAAATCGATGATCTCAAAATAGTCGACAGCTATGTAGGTGATTATAAATTTTACAACGAGTAAAATCGCGCAATCAATGAGCTCCGCGGCAAGCCGTTTTGGTATCGACGGGATATTCACCTGGAACTATAAAACGGATAAGACAAACAAGAAAACCAAAGTGCGAAGATAATGATAGCGGTGGGGCTGTAATATATGCATGTGTGGTTTACAATAAAATTTGCTGAGAACAGCCAATATAGATGTTATCCAACAATGTAGCTCTTACAGAAAAACGTCTAGACATTTGGATTTCTAATCCAGCAAATTATCTGGATTTAAGTAGGGACCTTGGGCTATCCACACGATATTTGGTTACTGTTATATTTTGACTGTCGTGATTTTTCTAAATTACTCTATGTCATGAATGCCTCAAAATTGATATCAAGCATTCGAAGGTCCAAGAAGCGCAAGCAGGACACGAAGTAGTATAATACATGCAAACGACGCATCAATCGCTAATTCAACCGCTTTATCTATCCATTGGTGGACCATTGATGGGAATTTCACAAGGTACAAACAAAATATACAAGAAATATTCAGATACCATACACGAACTCATTGCAATGAAATGGCCAACGAAGTTGGCATCACTTGCCTGTGTCGTGGCATCGACTGTTACCTGTTGCCCTGTCCCGATGATACCTCGATTGACATTGAAAGCCCCTCCAGATTGTGCGACACCATGAAGCATCGCAGATGTTACCACCGAATTTACCTAATTAGACATATATATTTAATTATAGGTTTAAAGTTCCATGCAAAAAACAATACTCTAAAGGGCGCCAAAAGCAGAGGAGAGATAAACAAACTCTCGGAAATTCCAGATAGCTTTTGCGGTAGGCTGCATTTAGAGCCAACCTAAATGGAATCTACTCTTAATGGAGCCGAATACTCTTAGAGCTTGATGGATATGTACAAACGTATGAATAGACGACAAAGCTAGAGCAGACTTTCTTTAAAGACCAAATAGTAGTACCCTATCAACAGATAAACATATTTTTAAATTTGCTTAAAGAGACATTATAAATATAGATTGCCCTCTTTGGGAGTCAAGAATTAAATTATCGTTATTAAATAGTTTGCTTTATAGCAACGGGTGTCAGATGTACCTGTTGCCAATGGTAACACTGCCACAGCCATTGGTTTAATGAGTTGATATATTCCTGTCTCTGAACGGCTTCGTCTTTACTCGCCGTAGATGTAGGACCACCACTGGTCCTAATTCGTTCTTGTGCGACCGTATTTTCACGGGCGGTGGCTGAACCACCGCCCTGAGAGACCGCATTATTTGGCGATTCGTCGGGCATTGCCTTACGCTGTCTGAAATATGAAGGCTGAAAAAGAAAAATAATTTAACTTGATAACCTACATCATAATTATTAATAATATGAATCTCAAATTCGCTAAGTTATATAAAGAACTTACTATCGTTTATTGCTCTGTCTAGATTAATGCGGAATTTCTAACGTACTTAGATTAGTATTGTGTAAGCATATTGGAACTGTAAATGAATAAATAACCAACCCAATTACCATTTTGCCAAAACGAACATATGAGATTCAACAAAAATTGCTCATATTAACAATAATAATATCGAAAAAAAGTAAGCAGTACATTGGCATTTTTATCTGATAAACTGTACTCTTTCCGAATAAATGCACCAGGAGACAAAAGTAACTAAACAAGTAAGCAAGCTTTCACGAGTTGATTCACTGTTTGTATTTATTCACTAAGCGTCTAGGCATACAGTGGTTCTTTGGCTTATTGTTGTCGCGGAACACTCACTGCAATATAAGAAAATTTGGTGGTTTCGAACACTCGCCATTTTATCAAGCAAGTTAGTAATAAACCAAAGAGACTGAAATAGTTGTTCCAATATGCAATAACACTCTGAATCGATCATTTGTATTCTCTGCTATGACATATATATTACAACATCGGAGAACAAAATTCAATAGTATGCCAGCTCATATCATTGCACTTCAGAATTCGACAATGTTGTAGCCAATGTTTAAACAACGGGCTTTCCACCGTGAGACAATAATTTTCCGAATAATACAACTGTCAAGCCACTTAATATATTTTAATGCTTACCTACGTTTACGAAGCAAGCCTGATTTTGCCTATATATCAGTAATATATCTTATTCAAAAATCACGTAAATTTGTTTGTATTGCAGGTCGGTTTGTATTATCAAATGCTTATTATCGTAAGCCATTACCGAGAGCCTCGTATCGAACCCTCACCTCATATCGGCTGGCATATATATATATATATATATATATATATATATATATATATATATATATTGTACCTATTTTGTCCGTAATAATCCCTTTATCAGATTGACGCCAGCCGATATGAGATGAGGGTTCGATTCGAGGCTCTCGGTATATTATATATTTTGTATTTATATATATATTTATATATATATATATATATAAATATATATATATTTATATATATTTTGTATTTTCAGAATACGCTTCAAAACTATGAGGCTACGTATTGACACTAAAGGCAAATTGGGGAAAATGGCAACACCCGCGAGATCACTGAGTGACATTCCACCACAAAATAGAGATTGTAAAAGTTTATAGAACAATGAACACACAGAGCGCACATGTCAATATTCATTCACTTATTAATCACCAACTTTATATCAAGAGCGAAAAGAGCAGATAACATTCATCACAAGCGTAATGTAAACGAAAAATCCTAACAACAGATATCTATTGGCTCTGCCGAGGATTTACAGACCCTTTGTCGTTAGTCAGACGTATAATGCTAAGTACGTCTCGTAAATGGACCCATGAGATGTCAGTTTTGCTCTTAATAGACTCAAATGGGTAGGATCGAACGCATGAAAAACTATGTTCTTCCTTGAGTAGCGTCGAGTGTTACTTTTTCCGCTAGCGTTGTGGTGCACGCTAAACGTTTGTAACATTTTTCCCAGAACGACGCGTATATCATATATGTGGCACCAGTACTATTACATTTTAATAAAAACTTATTAAAGCGTTTTGTTCAGTTCTGTATTAAATAACTCAGTATTATTACTAGAACCACGTATATTTTGATTTGTATGAAAATTATCACCTCTTTATGTATTCGCAGCTAGCGCAGAAAACGAACCCTGTCAAATACCACAACGGCTGTACTTCCAAGAAAATCCAAAAAAAGGGTTTAGTTTTTTTTAGTTTCAATCACCTTAAGAACAAATTCACTCAAATTACATCCATCGATTTCTTGCCTGGCTATTCATTGTTCACATACGTATGCTCCTTTACAATATCACGGGTAAATGGACGGAACGTGGACGATCCGGAATACACAACAACAAATTTTTCGTATTTTAAGTTTAAATTAGAGCACGAGTGGCACTGTATATTCTTGCAGATATCAGTTACATAGAATGGAACGAGTAAAGATGAAATAACTGTATTCATTACGAAACAGCCATACCTTTATATTTGTTTTATGTCTATAGAAAAGAGTTTTCGACGCACTAATCTTGATTATCCGAAAAACAGTCTATGTTAAAATACGTTAGACTAGTTAAAAAAAAAATGAATAAGATAGTGATCAGAGATAATTGTGTTGCTTCCTCTGCTTATAATATAAAAGTGCGTTTTCTGGGTTTTAGTAGTTTATTTTGAACATATGTTTTTCTCCCGCTTTAACCACGAATATAAAACAGGTCCTATCTGATATATTGACATGTTAACACAATAATTCTTAGTTTAGAAGGAACCTAAAGATGTGACAGCATATATTTTAAACGCCTCCATTTTATATAAGGAATATATTTTACTTAGTTTGAACAAAAACATGGCCTTATCGTAGCTAAAACATCTTGAATCACTTTATCAATAGTCTGCATTTCAGTTCAAAACTAAATCATAGTAGACATTTTAGCCATTACAACTTACTTAGTTTTATAGAAATAGATAATAAATAAATTATATCATAGGACTTTTCCAGCGACAACACCAGAAGGGAAAGTTAGCAGAAACCAGCTAATAACACGATATATTTTTGACAATCCGATGTACAGTGGGCGTCATTGATTCACTACTTAGCTTATCGAATTGAAGGAGACTAGGTAAGATGTATATGAAGTAGAAACAGATTCAATATTAAAACTATGAATACAGTATCCAGTAATGATAATAATAATTATTATTATTACTATAGGTGGAAGGCGAAAAATAACGAACATAATTTTCTTCATGAATATTTCAACCCTGACGGGGCAAATAAGATTTTCAATAAAGTTTAGATTAGAGGACTTGAAGATTAAACAAAATTACTCAAAAAGTCATTGTTGGTATACCTAAGTTTTTACCTGAGGAACTAACAGCCATTTTAGAAGTGAGCATATCAGTTAATAAGGTTATAAAGGTAAGCGCCAACGGACAGTTTTTTTTTGTAACTTTTTGAACTTTTTGTAGCATTTTTAGCAATTTCGAGTTCTTGCCTTCTTGCAACCTTTGGCTCGCTATCGGCTATCTAAGTGACATTTTTACGAGTTACTATTAGGAAGTTGTTTGTGGATTAAAGAAGAAATGTATTGAAAATTATTAGTTAGTGGTCTAGGTCCCATAATTGTTCTGAATAATTATGATCGTCAGAAATAAGATTTCTAGAACATGCCAAAGATTTCGTTGAAGTATCAATTTTTCTTTCGATATATAAAGCATAAGAAACATTTTTAGTTTAGATGCACTATTTCTTCCTCCCATAAAGTTGTATCGCTTATCAAATGGGGCCAAAACCTACACATACTGCAATAAAATAGCACATGCCACGTAAGAGGTCTTATCTATTAGGCAATTCTAAAAATAAGATTTACCCGATACTTTGCCAAAGTAGTTGGCTGCACTGCGGGCCTACCACAAAAGAAGAATACGGGTTACCAATATAAACGACCAAATATGCGCTCGGCGACGTAAGCTTTCGTCACTCAAGTCGTTTGAATTGGCGAGGTACAGGTGCACGGGCGGTTACTCAGAAGGAATAATATAAGGAGAAAGATACAGACGTTTTAAAAGATATAAAGCCGTATTTATATTACGGTTTACAAAAATATTGGCGAAATGCCTCGTTTTTCAAAACTGCAGTGTATCTGCTGTTGTGCGGCAAAGATGACATCTTTTAAAAATTGATTTTACCCGAGTTCACAGAAATTCAATATTTCGAGTCTTTACGTTCGGTACAGCCGTCGGGACGTTTCATCAGACAGCAGTTCCTATACCGGAACTCCAACTTGCACCACCGCGTGTCCCAGTTTAATAAAGTTTAGATAGATATTTACGAAAAATTAAAGGCTAAGCAGTTGTAAGCAGCCTACTTGTTGTGTAGTACGAATATTACAAGAGCTGGGTGAAGATCAATTTTGTTTTATCAATAGTCAAAAAAACGCTTTAGGCGCTATACGTCCATCTTTTTAATATGTTTAGCACAATTAGGTTGAGTAAGACATATGCTGCGCATACAATGTAGCTCAGCCTTAGTACGTTGTCAACAAAGAGTAGGTATAGTTTCAAAAAAGATGACAAATTACTCCGTTGGCTGGGCTCGTAAACGACCCTCAGATTTGATCTCAACTGGTTTTTAGTTAATCAACATTTCGCTCATTTACTCAGCGGCAGCGAAAAATTCACCGATAGGCTATCCATGTTGTCGAAACCGTGAATAACCGCACTAGGCACGCTCGGGCACTATATATATATATAAATAAACATAAATATAACCAGTATTTTAGCTTATCTTAAGCTGACCACTATTTAGCAATTCTGGTTAGACCCGTAGAGACTGGTTTCGGCCTTGTAATAAAATAAATCTTAATTCTACTTTTTAAGGGCTCCAACCGATTGATAGTCAATGGTTAATGCCTCATTCTTTTTTCTACTTACTCTGCTTATGTTGATTTTTCTGCTGAAAAAATAGAATCATTGCAAATAACAAATACGGCTTTTATTCTTGTCGTAGAAAGGCCGCATTACGAGTTGAATCTGGTCTTACCATACCAGATGATTTTTTCGACGTATGTCATCAATAAAAGACAAATGTTTATCATATAAACACATCAACGATTCTTTGGGAATTTACAACATGACGCTTCTGCCGGCGTTAAACAATTCTGTTCCTCATCTAGCGTCGTGAACAGATGCTGCCACAATAGTAGCTTCGTGTCTCTTATATAATTTTCAGTTGGGTGTAGTCATCGTCAGGATATTTATAAATACCACGATGCTCCCTCAGAGTTACGCCAACGTTTACTATTTTTCTGGCATTCACGTACAGTATTTGTTGATAGCTGCGCAACGTCAAATCAACGAGAAGCCGCTGCTATGTGGTACGCCTACAATAATCCTCAACAACGAATGGATAAACTTATTTTAAAATCGCATTTACTTCATCGGTGTTTTCGTAGCGTTCATGCTTTACTTTTCTAACCTGATTCCTGCTTAAAGCAAAAAGAAAAAAGGTTGTTATGCCGATAGTCAAATCGAAACTGTTTAAAATAAAGGTAACGCGACCGAGCGATAGTGAAAACAGCACCGTAACCAGACTGTGCGGACATATACTCATCATTTCATATGACTCTATTTATTTTTTAATAATTGAAAAGCATAAATATATCTAGAGTATTTGTTTTAAATACATGGTATAGAATTGTTTTGCCGTCCTTCCGGAAGCGCGGGCCATGGCTCGATTTCATATGCAGTTTTTTCCCGAAGCCTCATATGGCCTTTAGGCTTATGGCCATGTTATAGTTCGATTTCTATACTCTCGCCTCCGTTTTTAGAACAACTGTCTAAAAACACATGTATCACATAGGCGACAATGCGTTGAACGACTGGAGACCCATTAGATCGCCAATGCAGACTGTCAACCATACAAGCTAACACACCACGGCAGCTTGATGGTTTGCCCGATTAACTCCTCGGCCCTCATAGGACCCCCGGAGATGTTGCGACGAAGGTTATAATATTACGCGCGGTGCTTTGCTCGCTATAGTGTGAAGTTAATCTCAATACAACGCGATGTCCCTCAATAAGACTTTATAGTACGGAAAGTAATGCCAACTCTTGGAGCCTACGCAATAAGAAAGCCATCGATCCAGACAGGCCCTGCAGCGAGTATCTTCAATGAGCTGTCCTTCTGGCACGTTGCTGCACGTCAATATTTAACAATCTTTTACCTACTGGTACACTCTTAGCTCAGTGAAGAGATGCTACCCTGTTAGCAATTGTTCAAAAAAAGGTCGATTCAGTCGACCTGTCATTATGACGGGGAATAGCAAATAAAAGTGTTCGTTATAAGCTGCTGTCCTGCTTGTTGACGAAAAGACTGGACAGCTACTTAGAAAGCGTATACGCCATCTCAACAGAGCGACAAGAGTTCCGAAGGTAATGCTCCACAAAAACGGCATGCAGGGTCGGGATGGCCGCCGTTAGAAGAACACTAACCAGGGCGCACAATCCGCTATACGTGGTGTTGGTCAGCTTCCAAACAGCCTTTCGACTCGGAAGGTATGGGCAAGGTTATGCTGACGTACCTGTAAACGAGCTCAACCTTTTAGCTGCGAATTTATAATAGAGCAACAAAGCCATCGACGACGGAGAAGCCGAATCTCCGCTTTTCGCACAGACTACTGCTCTGGCTCAGTACAACAATCTAGGCCCAGTCTTCTTCTCCATTTTGCTAAAGGGCCTCCACGATCAAATGAGACGGTAGAGGAAGTCAGTCGGAATCATCTTGTATGTATACAGCCTAATTGTATATAGTTCAGACAGGTTTCAAATGCAGCAAGCCCAGCTTTACATGACAGTCAAGGATTTGAGACTGATCGAAGAGCTGCTCAAGACGGAGTTAATGAAGTGTGAAAGAGGGACAGTACAGCGATTAAGGACACCTTGTATTTCATCAGGTCGCCTGTTGCTCATGTTAACCGACCTCTATATAGGCTATTGCTCATTTTTGAGGACGGCGGAAGTTTCACTGCGTATGTCATCGAAATACGCAGGTGGACAGTGTTGACTTCACAGGCGACCAAGTTGCCTTATCGCTTACCCTTCGCGACTGGTTACCTTATTCGACCTCAAAATAACTTCAATTGTATCATACGGGATAGGCGTCATTTAGAAAAATTTACAGTGAACAATCGTTAAATCGCTCCAAAGCCCCTCCTTCTTCAAAAGGGCACTGGGACTGGGCATAGTGACCAGAAATAGCTTTGCGTACCTGCTAGCCGACTCTCCATTGCTGTTTGAAGATCTGT